CAGTATTTGTTTTGTAATTCGGGTAAGTCGAAAACATTTTTGCTTTATTTATATTCCCGATTTCTGAAAAAGTGGATAATATCGCTAAAATGTAGTTGCATCACTAATGTTTAATATTAATATTTTGTTTTTATATAAGTACTTTGTTAGTACTTTCAATTCCCTAATAAAAATGCAATTTCTCATATTCGTACAAAATATCATTTACATTTGCAAATATTTGGACATTTATTTTATTTATTTGAACAATATTCATTCACTGCAAATGTCAACAAAAAGTTATACCTACTTTTTTGCTTTTACTTGACAGTAAAATAAAACATTTTATATAATTCTTTATTTTCACTTTAATAGAATATCCTGTTTTTGATAATTTCTTTTTACAATTAATTATTAGGGTTTACTTTCATGGTGGTCATGATTTTTCACAATAGAACAATGAAAGTTGTTATTTATTTGCGGGAACCTAAAATATTACTTATAAATAATAATATAAATTAAAATCTTAAGGTTAAGAAAAATACAGAAAATAAGAAACACTGATATTAGGAAGATAACCAAAATAACAGATGCTCTTCAGTATAGTATGAAACAGAAGTGGAGATGGGTAGGTCATATAGTGAGGTACAAAGATAAAAGGTGGAATCTCCAAACAACATAATGGCGAGGTCCAGCAGGAAAAAGAAATGTTGGAAGGCAAAGAGATGAGCTGATGACATAATTAAGATAGCAGGAAAAAACTGGACAAATATTGCTACAGATAAGGAGAAGTGGAAAAAGATGGAAGAGACTTTTACCCTTGGGGATCACTGAAGTGAATAAAAAGCTATAATAGTAATAATAAATAATAAAATATTACTTTCTGAATAATAATGTGCTAAATAACAAAATGTAGAATTTTATACAGCATAAAACGACGACTTCAAACATCTCAAATGAAATTATGACGATAAACAACAATTCGAATCAATATTAAAATTAGAAATCAAAATCAGTTCAAAATTGACAATCAGTATTATTCTTTAAAGGGAACGGAAAAGAATTTCCAATTTACTTATTCAAAGATATCACGTAACATACACAATAATACATAGATTTGAGAACTTAAAAAAGTTTTGAAAGTAGCGTAATAATAAAAAAATACTAAAGAGGTATCGTACAAGTAAATTTGGAATATCATATAAAAGAGTTCAACGAGCTCATTCTTCAGCAATTAAATTTTCCAATTGTAACCAAATCTTTTATAAAAACATTATAATCTGTAATAATTTTGATTCTAAATCTATTCGAAAAGCATATATTTTAAGCCTCTATCTCCAAAAAAACAAAATAAATCTCTCTAATACCTTTATATGTACTATATAGAAGAAAATTGGGCGGTCAAATGTATTTTATCAGGAATTAAAGATCGTTTATAGGTAATATTTTCTATCATTATTCATATCATCTTAGCATGAAACCTTTGATTTATAAACCTAACACGCATCATTTTCTTTTCTTTTAAAATAAGACGAGCATGAATGGTTAAAATTTTAAATAATATTTTATAGAACTAGCGTTAATATGCATATACCCTTGTATGTCCACTAAACCAGTAAAATAAAATTGAACAAACACTTCCTTGTTACAAAACGTATCTACAATGTAGTAGGTCGTGATACATAGCATGTTAATAAAAAAATTACTAAATACCGAATTGAATCGTAATATTTAAGATTAGAGCTGTTTTATAATTTGCCATAACACGGCACAATATGATTTTGTCATATTTTATAGTATGTCAGGAAAATATATGGAATTAGTGGAACAATGAAGCTTTTAATTCTATCATGAGCATCGTATTGTAATATCAAAACTTAACTAGGACCATACGATGACACTCTGAGCTTTAATTTCATCTATTTTCCAATAGGAACCAATTTTTTTTATGTAAAATAGAATGACAAACAACTTCAACACCTGATGGAAAGCAGTAACCGTCGCCTATACACATAAGCAGTACCATGGACATAACAGAGTACTATTTCGCCTATGTACACGCCATATGTTGCCATTCCTAAGAAATTTATTTATGCATTTAGAATGGCAAACAAGCTGATGGCCCACCTAATGAAAAATGGGAACTATCACCTATAAACATGAGCAAAACTATGGACATAATGGAGTATACTGTTTCGCCGATGATATGATTCACATGCATTCCATTACTGAGAACTCAGGTGTTATTCCTCTGTACCTTGTAAATTCACTGCTATATCCCACCCTTAAAACCGAAACATAGCCATGAAAACACAACTGCTTCACGATTGAAGATGAATAAGATAGAGGTACCCAAGCAAGGGATTTTTGTACAAAATCAACCTATGATAGTCTGTAGAATACGGCTTCTTCTCTTTCTCATTATGAACATTCCATAAAAGATGACTGATTTCTCCATAACTATGTACTTAGTTACAATTCTAACGAATGCCTCTGTATACTTATTTTCTAATCAAAGAAATCAAAAGAGAATCTAATCTAAACAAATTAATTAAGTATTTACTTATATAATAATTGATTATTTACTAACAGAGTTCAAATTGTTGGTTAGTTATTTACATGAAAATATATGTAGCTATTAGTGATTGTAACGTCTTGACAAAATATAAAATATTTCGATATTTAAAGAAATTATTTCTTTAAAATTCCACTTTAAAAAAAATGGAGATTTCTTAATTCTTTACTAACTCAATAAAATAATTATTATTTACTAACTTATTCAACTCATAATAATGTTATAAACTTTATTTATATTTAACGCATAAATAATTCGTAGTCATACTCGGCTCTACAATTTAACATAATTAATAGATACTTGAGAACTACTCAGGCACTCTCAGTTTATCATTAATATTTCTTTACATCTATAGTTAAAATGCTATATTTAATGTAAATCCGATGAAATATTTGTCTTTAAAAATAAGTAGGTATATAAATATTTAATCTTAAAAAGATTGAACTAGATTATACCTAAAATAAATATTAGTAAAAAAAACTTACATGCGTAGATTCTCTAGTAATGTTAACAGTTTTGATCGTCATCTTCTGGCACCTTAATCATTATCTTTCATTAATCGAATACTCGTTGAAATCAATATTAAGAGTTTAAAATCGGGGGGCTATAGAAATCCTGTAACTACCATCCAATTTCATCTTCAGATAAGGTTTTAGATAAACACTATTTCATAATATCTAACAGCGAATTTCAGTCAATTCTGATGACAAAAACTGACTCGAATTTACTTTACACATCAGGCTATAGATTTAAAAGCTATGAAAAATGTTAATTTCGACATGATCTATACAGCAACACAGAAATGCAATCGTATATTGATACGTCAAAACGACCTGTAATACTATTTGCTAAATATTCAATAGAACTATAATAACAGTACAAGACAAAACTTTACGCGGAAAATATGGCCAAAATATACTGATTTTTTGTAATAAATTACATCTACCTACCCGTTTAGCAAGCGGTTGCCGCATCGGCTTAGCTTATGAAATGTATTCTACGACCTCGTACGGAACGGCAAAATAACAAACTGCACTTAATCGATCCGTGCGTCGCTTTATTTTTATGTTTGTAGTTTTATATGGACTGTGTTGTGCTTATTGCTCGACTAGTCCGGAAATATAATGTTGCTTTATGTCCATGAAACTTTATCAGTTGAATCAAATAATATATTTAAACGTCTAAAATATTTACAATATATATTAAGCATTCTATCATTTGCTAAATATAGATAACATAGAAAATAAATCGTTGACCGCCATAACGTTTGATTTTCCGACAGGTGAGGTTTTAACATACCTAATTATGCTAATCACGATCCATGTGTGTTGAACAAAGATAATAAGAGTCAACAAAATAATTTGTTGTTCGAATCCCAACAACATATTCTTATATTGTATAGCTACCATCATCATATCAACCTGTAACTGTCCACTGTTGAACAAAAGCCTCCCCCTTGGGGGGGTTTTACAATTGCCACGCTTGGTAGGCAGATTGGCAACCGCAGTTAAGCTTTGGAGACGTTTTAGGAGGGACGCGTCTGCACATCCCTCGCCTTCCCTTAGTCACCTCTTACCACACCCATAGGAAAGGAAACGGTGGCCTATTCTATGCCGGGATTCTATTCATTAATTTAACAAGTTACCTATTAATATCTCAGAATATGAAACATATTCACTATTTACTTATACTTAATAAAATCATAAAGTTAGAATAAACAGTACATACGGAATAATGATTGGGAAAATTTAGTAATTTATTTATATATAAGCACAGGAACCCAAATTATTGCTGGAATTGATGTCTGTCTGTCAGTCACATTATCAAAAGAAAATGCCTGAACGGATTTCACTTACTTTTATAATCGGGTAATATTAATCTAACTTAAATTAAAATGTGCCTGTGTTAATCAGATTCGGTTGAACGCTTCATGAGATGACCCCTCCATTGTAACTATGAAGTCATATAAAACTGCAGGTCTTTGTTAATTGGACAATCAAACTGACTGATTAATCAACACAGCCGAATTCCCCACAAATTCCCACGGGAATAGGAACTGAATGGTTATACGCAAACAAAGCTACAGAAAAAAATAATACTTAAATCTTTAAAAAGGGTTGAAAAATATATATATATTTATTATCTATAAAACAACTACTTTATCGGAGTAGCGACATGGTATATCTATTGTTTAATTGTTTATATGTTTGAACCATAATTGTGAGTATTTAAGCCAATAGTTTCGAAGTTACGTTAATGGTGGGTCTAAATATATTAAATTCATTCCTAAACGTCCATTATATCTTATGTTACGAGAGTTACATATTATCGTCCTGGACAAATATAATAAACGTAAAGTTTGTTGATATTTTATTATTTGAAATTTCTCCTAACAAATATTAAAAAAAAAGTATTATACTAATATAAAAATAAAATACAAACTTACCTTCACCGAAGAACAAACGATCCAATAAACAATAAGAAATCGGATTAACACTCCAGTGAAATAAGCACGAGTTGTAGCACTTCGTCTCTATGTTAGAGAACAAGTATCAATATCATTAGTTCATGAACACCCCTTCGATGCACAATGTATAGATAGAGTCCTTGCAACCCCGGAAAACAGTCCAGAGTCCAGGGTTTTCAGCGTAGGCAGCGGCGAAGAGCTTTGGGGTGCCGGCGGCGCGCGGGTGGCGTTCCTGCGTCTGGCCGCACAACGCGCCTCGCAACGGTAAACTGGCGGGTCGTGACAACACAGCCTCTCCGGCGTTTGTACGAGTGCCTCCAACCTCCCTCCAGACAAATAGTACCGTACGCTGTGCTTGTGTCTTGGTAACATTTATTATACTTTTATTAGTGTTACACCGTCTACATCAGTGTGCACCGCAACACCGACACAGCCAACGACGTGGCGCAGCCGTGTGGGTGTCAGAGTAGGTAAAGTACCTATGCGTGCTTTGATCTTATGATTCGGTATGCACGGCCGCGCGGCCGCACGTAGCACCGCGACTATATTTTACTTCTGTAATATCTAGTCAATAATTTTAGTTTGGTGTTTGTGCAACAGCATACGTCGTGCCGAGCGAACTACAACTAGGCCAAATATTAAAATAGTGTAGATACAACCGAATTCTCTAACATTAGAAAAAATTACCTTGGTAACATAATAGCCGCGAATTAAGACTGCTTGTATGGAACATATAAGTAAAAAATATTCAAAGTAATTTAAAGGGTAGACGCGACTGTAACTGAGTAGGTATCATGAAATACTATAAATTTCCATAACTTCTACGTCAGTCTGGACTAACCTATAAATATCCTTTAGCAAATATTTCTCCAAGTTTTCCAAGACGCCTGAATTCTGCCGGAGCTACTATCAGACATATTTTATTATCATCGAATCACCTAGATGGTAATCTACTTTTACGACATAAACTTCACTAGGAGATATATTTCTTCTATTTACCAAAACCATATATTCGGCATACGATTATTTCACTTTACAAACCTAATATTCGATATCAATTACTCTGATTTTGCACTTGATGACATCGAACATCGACTTCTATCAGGTTCCATCCTAATACGCCCACATTCTCTCAAAAGTATTATGGATGAAAACACATTCATCCAAAACCTTCCTTTTAAATCTGCCTGGATCATGCTTTAATTTTTTTCTAATTACATTGTCTATTCATTTTCATAATAAATAGTTCAAGATTTTGTTACACAAAAAAAAAACATCGACTTCAATCCTTTAAATCAAAAAGTTATTATTTATTTAAAAACTAAACTAGTGTACCGATCTTGATAAAATTTATATGGCACAATTCAAAAGTTTACCTACCTATTCATTCCTAAAAGAAGAAATCGATTTATAAATGGCAAAGTTATGAAGTAACAAATGAAAAAAAAATTTGTCGAAAATCTTCTTACTTTTTTTAAGTAATTTAATGAAATTATTGTCCATCGCGGACATGAATGAATTAGGCAGTAGGCATCAAATCTATGTAGTTTATCTATTTCTCGTTACGTTGTGACTAAATTCGTAGTGCTATTGTATCATACGTAACTGAACTGTTAGTTTCAGGATTATACACATAACAATCTGACTCTGAATGAGCATCTCTTTAGATAACTTTATGTAGCCCAATAATAGCCCAATGTGGTAAAATGTCTTTTATTCTACATATCTTATTATTTATACATTTTAAATTATACAGAAATAAATAAATACTATTTTTAAACTAAGTGTATCCCACAACTTCGCCAGCGTGAATCAGATATAAAATATCCTACCTACTAAGTTTTTTTAATGGATGATAATAAAACGGTAACCAGCCTGCGCTAACGATACACACTGGCGGGGCTTCAGTGAAGGATGATAGGTCAGAATGAAAAGGCAGGTCAGTTAGCCCATCGTGATGGATCTGTAACTTAGCACGATGGTTTCTAGGGAGAACACTTGGAGGTCGATCTGACAGAATATATTATTAGTAATAGTAGTTTTTGAAATAGTATTGGTACAAACTTTCGCATTTATTATATTGAAAGGATACATACATACATATTACGTCTAAATAGAAAACGCTTAAAATGTATTGGACAAACAAATATACTCGTGAATATAAATATTTATATTGTGCGAGTACCGAATCCGCGACCATTGGAAGGTGAGACGGTGTATTAAACCGGTAGACCACCAAGGCCGTCACAATAATTGTACCTAATATTACTAATACAATAAAATTGTAAATTTACAACGTCTGTACATGGGGGATATTTGAAAAAATAATGTAAGAAGACTTAATAAGAATAATAAATGTCAAAACAACAATTTTAAGAAATTTTGTCGGTCTGTTTCTCTTTCGCAAAAACTATTGCACCTAATTTTATGTGGTTTTCACTATTGTATTCCTAAAGGTTTAAATTGAAATGTGGGTGTACATGTTCGTACTTCAAAAATCTACGCGTACAAAATAACAGGCAAAAAGCTAATAATTTAAATCATTAAGATATTATAATATCAAAAATATAAAAAAGTATCAGTTTGCTTCATTTAAAAGAAGTATCAAAAAGAAACTGTACAAAAGTCGTCTATATGGGTACCTCTGTCCCATCCATAAATGTAGTCTCTCTTTTTATTTAAGTGTTTCCTCTTGTCGGGGCAACTAATTTATGCATTCTCCTACAGCCAGCTCTATTCCAGACTATATGTTTGGCCTCCCTATGCGACATGACACCTAGTGTTTCTTTTATTTATCCCAAGTAGTTATTTTTCGGTCTTCCCCTTTCTCTTTTGTAAATATAGTATGACGTTCTAATTTTCGCCGGTGTTTCTGCCTTGAAGCAGTTGTGCTAGTAAAGCTGTGCTTTAGGTTCAAGGTTCCTCATATCAGCCACTGTCCACTGCTGAACATAAGCCTCCCCCTTAAGGGGTTTTACCAGTAGTTTGTAATGAATGCATCTCAAGGGACCAACTAACCTGTCATCATCCTCACCTATCATTTTTTACTGGTAGCCGGCCAGCGTAAACCAATAGCCCTGAGAATAATTGAATTTTGTATAGATATGTACCTACTTAAATGACAATGAAATACATGTCGTTGGTAATTGAATATCTATCTAAAAAAGGCTTGAACGATTTGGTTAATTGACTTACAGTTCAACAAAGGTTTTTATGGCAGAAAAAGTTTTCTGAAAAATCAAAACAACCAATTTTTATAGGTCCTCTCAATCTTAATTTTTAATAAGAATTCGACATTATCAGGTTGATTTTCCTCTTCTTCTTGTTCCTTATATGTTCTAAATATTTATAATATCAAAGTGCAGAAAAGTGGTTGCAATTTTATCTACAATAAAGTGAGTCATTTAAATATTTTTAGCAAAACTTAATACATACAATGATCAGTGAGATAACGTTTTTCTTTCACTTCTTTTCGTTTTTATGGCTAAAATATGGCAGTGAAATCATATAAACATAATCTATTAATCGTTATGAATGGCAACGTGTCTACCCGACCGACGACCCGTTCTTAAATCGATGATTAATAATTTTCAAAAGTCTTCCTCTCCCTAACATATTAGGTCATTGTATTATGTAGGTATATTCGATTAATTTTGACTTTATACGACGTTCGCCTGTTTCTGGTGTCAAGCTTATTAAGTTACTTCGGTAAATCCTTAGTAATCTACAGGTGTCCATTAGCTTTCAATACTGGTACCATCATAGTGTGACCTAATGATGATCATGGTTTTGTTTGTATATGTAGACAATGTTTATCACTTTACATCAGATAGTCACATTCTTAGTCACTCGATATTGCATAAAAAAATTAAGTAAATGCAAATGATCACTGAATGCAGAGACGATTATACTCAATCAATACGAGTATCTACATCTTTATGTTTAATATATTAAATGTCCAAAGCAGACATATAAGAAAAATTGTTTAGTTCTAAAATGCATAGTTTTTATCTTTAAAAATCTACATTCATCCATCATATAAACTGGACGAAAGTACATGAACTATGCAGCGTATTTAGCGATCTAAATCTACGAAGCTTTCAATAGTAAAGTGTTATATTCGAGAATAATCTATGCGTGATCGCTTCGCAAATTGTCAAAAATAATGATTACGGAGAATAATTATTATGGAGCACGATTATATCGTAAACCTTAAATGATGAAATGCATTTTTTTTTATAAGCAACGCTATTACAACCATGCAAAAGAAAAACCTTAGGATAGAACCATAGACGTAGTATAACGTACTCATATGGAACTAATTCATAATAGTATCTAATTTTTAATTCCTAAATCACTCTGCACATTATCAAAGTTTATTGCTATTCATTCACTAAACGCTTTTAAGTAACAACCTTAGCAAACACATGTCTGAATGTACAGATGTGGCTTTTTTAGGGGACTAGACTCTCCCTGGACAGTAATTTTAAATTGGCTAATGCCTATATAAAATTTAATAAAACCATTTGTAATTTCCTAATATTGAGATTTTTTTTTTTAATGGATGACAATGGAATGGTAGCCCCGCCTGCACTATCAATATACGCTGGCGGGGCACCAGTGATAGATAATAAGTGAGGATAAAGCAGCCCATCATAACGAATTCTACAATAATTAATCATGATGGTTCTAGGGGGAACCGCGTGGAGGTCGACCTAATAGAGTATATTATTAACAATCCCTTCCCTCCTGTTAAGAATGTGTAGAATATAACATTATAACGGATACAAAATTAAAAGCCTATTTAACTTCATATTCAGCGAACATAACCAGTAATAATAGGGGGAAAGGGATTGTTAGTAATGTGGACTAATGGCCCTATTGCTAGCAAACCCGTCAGGTCGACCTCCACGCGGTTCCTCCTGGAAACCATTGTGATTAATACTTCTTGCATTCGTCACGATGGGCTAATTGACCTGCTTTCATACTCATCTATAATATCCTCACTGATACCCCGCCGGTGTATACCGATAGCACAAGCGGATTCACCGTTTCATTATCATCCATTAAAAAAAAACAGTGATAATAATAATAAAACTTTATATTCACACGATTGCATAATCTTAATTGTCTACCTATATTTATTTTGCTAAAAATAATTATCCACATTTTCAATGATTCCACTGACTTAGTCAAGAGTAAAATAATTTAAGAACTAAAATAAATTTATTAGAAATTCTTATTTTTAATTTCACTTTTTATTGTCGTCTTTCCACGAACTATCTGGTAGTTTACGGAATTATTATTTGCGTAAATCAAAACATGGGTATGGTAGAATATGGTAAAATAATGGTAGAGATTTATTACTACTCATCAACTAACACATCGTTTAAAACAGCGTAGAAAGAGCCAAAAATAAGTATCTTTTCATAAATAGCTAGTTATATATCCAAATCTACCATTATTTTATTATCTCAGAACGGATTTTAGTAAATAATAATACACTTGATTCTAAAACAAAATATGTACACTTCCTTAATCTTCATTATCCTATTAATTGTTCTCTATAAATATCATAACATTGCAAATGCTTTTACAAAATAAATTAAAAATCGAACTAAATGCCGTACGTAAGAGATATAATTATCTAATGTTATTTACTTTTAGTAATTCTCGAACCGTTCAATCTGGCATCCCTGCCGGGTGTGTGTTAAACAGTACGTTTTGTGTATTTGTAATTTAACTATTTTTAAGTGTAAACAATGTGTTTTTTAAAATAATTTTACTATATAACATTAAAAACTTAATAACATCTTTGCCAATGTCCAATTTCAAGGCTTTTATATGCTTTTTACATTAATGTGAGGTTCTCGTGCTTTGTCTTCGTGTGTGACAATATACTCAAAATGGCGCATCAACTGGCACCGTCTGTAAATTGTTCATTAGACGACATTGACCTCAGCGCTCTAAAGGTAAACTTTTTAACTAAGCTATATTTAGAAGTAACTTATTGTAGACAACCTAGAGCCATCTTTACCCTTATCATACAGTATACACTCATGAAAGGGCAATGATCTCACAGGGCGTGAATCATAAGTGAAGGTTCGCTATATAAAGGAGTATAATAACCTTTATCTCCTACCGTGTATCTTTTCAGGACCCCGCTGGCATATTTGAACTCATAGAAGTAGTTGGAAATGGTACCTATGGCCAAGTGTACAAGGTATGTTGCTTAGAACAGGTACTTCACATTGCACTAGTTCTTACATAGTCCGGAAATATTACTAGTCTGATTATTTTTAGGTAGACAACAATGAAGTTTATAAATAAATTAGCACTTAATAACATAGAAATAAATAGAAAATATATATCTATACATCTGAGAATAATGTGCATGCACTTAATCTTACTTGAACATCCAATATGAAAAATTAAACCTAATAAGCTCAATAAAAGCATTACAATTGAAGAGTTCAAACTATTAATGTCAATTAATATAGTCATAGTATCCATCTGTTCTCATTAGTGTTTAACAATGTGGATTATTTAGAACAGTAGGTACTTACTAAATATTTAATTATTGCAGCATAGAGAATAAAAATAAAAAATTTGCAATCTATCTATATTCTAGTTTTTTAATTCTTACATTCAAACTACATGTAGGTACATACTTTCTTATCACTATTTGTGACATAGAATAATAATAGGTACTTTTACATGAATATATTCCACAATACTATCTCCATTATTTCACTTTATCAAATTTAAATATTAGTCATTAAACAATGATTACACTTATAGTGAGATTTGTAATATTAATCTCAACTGATTGTAAAACCACATTAATCATGTACATTTGTTCAATAACAATTTAAAATAAATAGTCTATATAAACATTAATGTATACATCTATTTCTCTCTAAACTGTTTACAAGATCAACTAACATGATAGTTTGTTCACATCATACAACAGTACATGTTCCTGCTGCTAATGTTCATTTTAATGAGTGTATAGCTAACACCCTTAAACAGACTGTGATTGAACCAATGATTGACAGATTTAATGTATGAAACAAATAAATAAGTAATCTTTAAATATAAAAAAAAAATTAGTACTTAATGATGAGGTTTTTTCCAGAGTAATACATTTGATATTTATCAGAAGTGTCATGTTTTTAATGTAATCATTGGTTGTAATTATATTGATAGCATGGGGTATTATTCAATTACATTAAAAGTGCTAAGTGGATGGCTATTTATGCATATTATAGATATATCACAGACAAAAGTAAAAATCATAATAGTAATGAACTTTCTGGATATATATAAGTTAACTAAAGATATACTAAATAACAACATTTATATTGTTTTTTTTTTTATTGTTTATTATTCACAGTTTTTGATTTTATACTAATGATTTATTTTAAATCTATTACTTTTAAATTTTTGTACAATTATACACATGATAAACTTTATTATAATTTTATATCATTTACCTGTTATATTATATTTTATGTTATAAATTTGTATAAGTATATTCAATAAATGAAATCAAATCTTTATTGTAGTTAATAGTTTATTAAAAAAATAATACAATATTTGTCTCACTACCTTATCAACCTACAATAATATTATAAAAAAAGGATAGCTAAATAAAGCCATTCGTGTTTCAACCATAAAGCAGCTGTTTGCATGGCTGCTTCGGTTTGAAGGGTGGGATATGGTGTGAATTTACAGGGCACAGAGGAGTAACATCTGAGTCCTCAGGAATGGCAACACATGGGGAGTATCATGGGCAAAACAGTATACTCTGTTATGTCCATGGTACTGCTCATGTCTATAGGCGACAGTTACCACTTCCTGTCAGGTGGGCCATCAGTTTGTTTGCCATTCTAAGTTGTATAAAAAAATTATTAGTATTTATTTTGGCCCAATTTACTGACTGAAAATATTTTCACTAATTCAATACTTCCATACCTCACATAAACTTAAATTATAGGGACGACACACAAAGACAGGGCAGCTTGCTGCCATCAAGGTGATGGATGTGACACAGGATGAAGAAGAGGAAATAAAGCTTGAAATAAATGTCCTAAAAAAGTATTCCAATCATCGTAATATTGCCACATATTATGGTGCATTTATTAAAAAGAGTCCGCCTGGTAAAGATGACCAACTCTGGTTGGTCATGGAATATTGTGGTGCTGGTATGTATTCATGTAACAGATTTAATAAGTCTTTAAATAATCATACGTTTAATTATATTTTTAGTGTTTTACTTAATAATAAATGTAATATTAACATTATATGCTAATTTTAGGGTCAGTAACAGATTTAGTGAAATCCACAAAAGGCCAGTCATTGAAAGAAGAATGGATATCATATATCTGCCGGGAGATACTGAGAGGTCTCAGTTACTTGCACACCAATAAGGTTATTCACAGAGATATCAAAGGGCAAAATGTACTGCTAACTGATAACGCAGAAGTTAAACTTGGTAAAAATATTGTTTATATATATTGTATTTACTATGTTATTTGCATAATTTAATACATATTACATTATTAACAGTGGATTTTGGAGTATCGGCACAACTGGACAGAACTATTGGCAGAAGAAATACCTTTATAGGCACTCCATATTGGATGGCACCAGAAGTCATTGCTTGTGATGAAAATCCTGATGCTACATATGACAATAGGTCTGATCTATGGTCTCTTGGAATCACAGCACTGGAAATGGCTGAGAGTCAACCACCTCTTTGTGACCTCCATCCTATGAGAGCTTTGTTTCTCATTCCTAGGTAATAAATTGATAAATTCATATTTAATTATTTAATACTACTGTTATTATTTAACTACTTATTGATCTTCATAAATATTACAGGAATCCACCACCTCGATTAAAGGCAAAGAAGTGGTCAAAAAAGTTTCATGGTTTTATTGAAACTGTTCTTGTCAAAGATTATCATCAGCGTCCTTACACTGAGCAGCTGTTGAAACATTCTTTTATAAGGTAAGAACTATAGTTAGAACATTAACTTTTATTTAAATAAATCTAGGCCTTCCTAGTTCGGCCCAGTCACATTATTTTTATATAAGTACCACACATTACGTCACCTATTATCTATATGGAGTGAATTTGGGCAGCAAGCTATTTTAAATATGACTCATTTTATTAGTCTAATTTGAAAATTTATTCTCATATCTTTAGAGATCAACCAATAGAGAGACAAGTCCGAATACAACTAAAAGACCATATAGACAGATGTAAGAAAAGAAAACAAGATAATTCAGTGCGAGAGGACTACAAATACTCAGGTTCTGAAGGTGAAGAAGAGGAGAATGCTGTTGCAGGAGAACCATCTTCCATTGTACACAACGCGGCCGCACACCAGGGCGGCGATACCTTGCGTCGCAACTTCCAACAGATACAGGAATGCAGGTCTGTATATCTCATTACCGTACGTCATTCATCGCCCATTAACTTGTTCTTTAATTTAACAACGTTTTAAAAAATAAATCAGAGCTCCCGCCGATGCTCCACAACCGCAGCCGCCACCGAAACGCAACAGCAAGCGTGAAGATCGAGAAGAAATTCCTGGTAATATAATAATAACTTTAACAATGTGATACATTGTAATAACAAAATGTGGTTTTCCTTAACTCTTTTGTGTATACCAATAGAACCTGGTCCGCCGGCGAGGCCTTCCATCCCCCAAAGACTGATTGTTGTGCCAGATCCGCAGATGCAGCAGCCTAATAGATACAGGTAGATCTTTGTCTTCTTATTGTTATACAATTCATTACTAACTTACTAAAATATACATTATTATTGTACTCATAAGGTCGTTTTAGGTATTAAATAATATCTAGGATTTATTTGATGACGATTGTAATCAACTCGCAAATCTTATCGGAACCGATTAATTGAAAAAATTATTCATCGCTGTTTTATATCCTCTTTTTAAAATTTTGCTATATGTATTGATAACGACCTTGGTGATGCGGCAGCCTTCGAAAATTGTAAGTTCGATCTCGGCACAATATACATGTAATATATATATATATATATATATATATATATATATATATATATATATATATATATATATATATACATAATATGCGAGTTGATGCCTCTGTGTAATATATCCAGCTCTATTATTATTTTAACTGAAGATTCTAAAAAAATATTGGTAATTCAGGCCACTTCCACCAACACCAAAGTCTTCAGGGTCGTCGAACAGTTCGGGATCTAACAATGGCACTCCACCCGCCAGCGGGCCGCAGCCACCACAGCGCGGGTCACATCACATGTTCAAACCTATGGTACGCGTTTTACTATTTACATATTTTCTACATGTATTACTGGTAGAAAAGTAGTTGTGAAAAGAAATAATATCTGTAATACCAATATAATCAATGTTAGTTTAAATCAATACGGTTTTTATTTGCTTAACATTTGTTAATTGTTTTCTTTTATTTTTTATTTAGTTTTGTTTTTCTTTTATTTTCATGTTTCACATTGACTATCCTTGCACTCCTGATTATCCAGGTCCCGCTACGAAGGCCAGAGGTTGGTTAAATTTATATTAGTAGAATTATAACATTTTTATTTTATTATTAGCTTCAACTATTATATAATATATATTACTGTCATTTTCATCGTCAGTATAAGTGCTTTAACTTTTTTAATAATCATAAAAGATATTTGTTGTTCTATTACGCATAAACGGATAATGGACTTCGATAACATTTTTCATAGATAGATCATGCTCAAGAAAGTAACTCTAATAAATTATTTCTTGTAGTATAGAAAAAAACAACATAAAAAAAAAGAAACTGCAGTCACATAATAATTATACAACTTGTACTCGTGTCTTCTTCTGTATATCGGAACATATTGATTGACCGTGATTTAAAATAGCCTACGTCCAGATATCATGACGGTCGGTTCAATCAAAAAGGTGACAAGATGTAACAAGCAAATTGACATTTACAATGATTGTAAGGATGGCAACTTAAAATTACAGGATTTGGATAAATTAGCCGCGCAACTTAACGAGCTGGGCGTGGTGTCCGGAAATGAACCGCCTAATCGACCTCCGCGTGCGCCCGCTAATGGTCAAGGTTCGTCATCTAATAATAATTTATCAATGCCTATGCATCTTTATCTTTTGTAATACAAAAAATATTATATTTAAGTAGATACAAATAGTGCTGTGTATTTTATAACACCACAGAGAAAGTATGTAATATCACAGACCATGATTTTGGCTACAAACTATTTGGGCGACTGATTCATGTTCACAGAACGAAAACAACTAAAACCAGAAATATGAAATTAAGTATTTACTCTTGTAATAAATACATCGAGCTCGGTGAAAGGTACTCTACACTAATCGATACTTCAAAACAAAAACTAAGAGAGGGCGAAGTAGCAGTGTCCCTCTTAAAGCATTTCCAAAGCCTAACTGCGGTTGTCAATCCTCCACCAAGCATAGCAACTACTGACAAAACCCTCCAAGGGAAGACCTATGTTCAGCAGTGGACAGTTAACGACTATATCATCATCATTTCTTTATAATACTAATAATAAAGGACATATTATAGACAATCTTACAATCGTTCATGTTTTGAGCAATGATTATCATTAATCACTAGTAGGCACAGAGCGGATAAAATGTTCTATTTGTCTGTTTGCCAATTATTTTATGGAGTTTTTCATTACTTGTTAGTATTTTGAAGTCTTTAAATTTATGAAATGTCTATCAAATTATAATATTATTTGCATTGAAAACTCACGGAATCCGTTTAATCTATAAATGCTTATTAATTGTATTTAAATCAATATAAGTGTTTTTGTTACATATCTATTACTTATCGACTAGATAAGCTTTTAATGACGTAGGGCACATTATTATAATTAATAACATGAATAGATAGATGTATGAGAATTTAACATTCTTTTCGAGCCCCTGCAGTGGCCCCTTATCGTAAAAGCAACTGCATCTGTGAATGCCGTTTTCATGTATTGATGAAATCATCTTAGATTATATAGATAGTGTCTCCATAAAAATGCTTCTAGGAAAACGGGTCAACTTTTTCATACAATTTTGCGTGAGGAGATATAAGGTATCACTCATAACTATTTAAGTTATAAGTGATTCCTAATAACTTCTATATTTATTTTATCTTATAATTTCTGTATCTATTTTATGCGTGAGTATAAAGAACACTGATTAAAACTGCTAATTTGACAATTAGCTGGCAAAAAGTTGACCCATTTTTAAGGCTTGATGCTCTATCTATATAAGCTAAGGAAAACATAATAAATAGAATACTTTAATAAAGATCTAATAAGTTTCAGTGTTACATATTATGCCTAAGTAGTAGTAGTAGAACCAGAGAAAGACCTGCTACAAAAGTCGCCTGATGAGTAACTCTGCCCCATTCGTGTTTCTACGTTGTATTTGCATGGCTGTTTCGGTTTGAAAACTGGAATAGTGTAATAAAATTACAGGGTACAAAGGCAAAACTTTAGCATCTTTAAGGATGACAATGCATGAAGAGCATCATGACCGACACAGTTTGCTCTGTTATATCCATGGTACTATTTATATCTATAGACGACAGTTTTCACTTTCTATCAGGCGGGCTGTCAGCAAACATAAAAAAAAATAGATCAAGCTTCAAATAATATAAATACTTAATTATTTTAGCCTACCTGGGACTTTGATGACAGACATATATTTTATAATTATTCTTTTTATTCTAAATCTACATTTAGTTAAAAATAAAATGTATCTTGCACAGAATATAATGGAATGAGATTATATGATGTTTTATGCGAAGTTTTAAAATAAACAGGACCTCCCGTGGAGAGGAATCCTCCAGAACCAACTTTCGAGGACTCGGATAGTGACTCTGAGGCCGAAGAGAGCGGTGGCAGAGTGCGCAACGATGGCACGTTATTAGCCAGCGATCCGCCTAAACCTCTGTAAGTTACAATCGCTATCGTAAACAAGATTATAAAAAAAAAATATGAAAAACAGAGTTTTCTGCATCACATATTAATTTTTATTTCATGTTACTTGCAGGTGGGATATAAGGTCATGGGTTTCCTCCTTGATCAGGCTAATATATTACACAAACATTTCTGAATTAAATAGATACGGCAACTGTATATACTTATTATATTATAGCAATTTAAAACCGAAAATCAATCTATATATAACATTTGATTGTAGAACACTATTCATTGAAGCCCATAGTCCAGTTCTTGCTTATAGGTGACTTCCATCAGATGAGCCACCAGTTCGTTTACTATTCTGCATTTTATAAAAAGCAATTAGCACGACGTATGCTTAACACATGTCGTTTGAATATACCCTCATAGTTACTAAGTCCTATAACTACCTTTTATATGGCAATTCTGTTATCATTTTATATAACCTGTGTCTAATAGAATCATCATATTATTACTTTTGTTTGCATATTATTTTAATTTTACCTTTTATTTTCATTCACCCCTCCCATCCTCGTTGCTTTGATTTGGCTTGTTAGTCCCGAGTTCTGCTACAGGCCAGGGCTGAGCGCGGTGTCGGAGGACGCGGGCGCTGGCGGCGCGAGCGGCGCCGGCAGCGGAGCGGGCGGGGCGCCCACGCGGCCGCTGCCGCCCACGCCTGACGACGATGACCACGGCGATAGGACGCTCGTCATGAAAAGGGTGAGTCCCCACTAATATTATAAGCAAACTTCCGTTACCATCATGTATCTAATAAAACACGCTTACGGTGTCTCTGTAACTACTTACTTACTTTTAAAACATTTATTTACATTGTTTGTCATTATTCAGCTTCAAAATCATGCCGATTTTAAAACGAGCCACTTAGACATACAAGTGTAGTAGCTGCAGAGTTACCCATGCTTATTTTTACTATTCACTGCTCGAGGTACATAAATGCGTGATATTCTGAATTTTTAGGTTCCTCTTAATTTAAAATTGTTTTCACGCCAAAATAAGATTTGTGAGCACTTTTTTTTATGTTCATTTTCTTTATTATTTATGTGTACTTTTTGTATCGGGCATGTTTGACAAACACCAGAGGGAAGGCTCTGAAAACGATAAAAGACAGTCCGACGTTGATGAAGCCGTGCTACTCAGGGATTGGGACTTCGCTAGATTCTTCCCGTCGAGAAACAGCGAAGTCCAAGAAGAGAAGTCAAACGTACCGAAAGAGACTGAACGAAAACGAGCACAAATACAATCTCAATCCAGAATAGAGATGGAGGATGCTTGGGCCAAATACAAAGCTATCGCAACACCGCCCTCGCGTCACAAACAATTATTCCAAAAATCTAACGAAAAATCAACACAAGAGAAATTATCTGATCTGTTGAAACATAAGAAGGAACAAGATTTGGAAATCAGTTCTCCAAACAGATTCTTTAGAGGATTTAGGAGAGAAAACTCCGATTTCTTTCCGTTGCCTAGTACACGTCACTCTGCCATTTACTTTCCAAAACATGATAATCAAATAGGAGCCACTAAACAGCTCAGATCCAGTGGATTTTTTAATAATACTCGTAAACAAAATATGAAATCGACTACAGGAGAGCCTATATTGACCGACTTCATAAAAATGAATGACAGTCTTAAAAAGTCAACACCGGGAGAAGTAAAGAAAAATGAAAAAAATCCTAGTGACAAAAAAACAACAAGCAATAATCCCATAGACGCTCTAAAGAACGTAGCAGCCCTTATCAGACAGGATAGTGAAAGTAATGGTCCCAGCCGACAGAGTAGCGTGAACAGCGACTCCCCGGCGACGAGCATCTGTTTCTCGAGCAGTGCGTCGTTCGAGAAGGCCGGCACCCCCGACCTGACGGCGAGCACGCTCGAGAACAAGGCTCCGCCCGACAACCTCACAGATTCGAATGGTGTTATGAAGCCACGCAGGGAAAAGACTGAATCCGATATAGTTTATCGAAGAAATTCACTTTATAATCGGCACACAGAACTTATGTCGAGTGGGCAGGAAGCGGTACTCGCACAGGATCAGGTAAATTGCTCCCTGCTCAGGATAGTTATTTTAATACTTTTCCTACTTACAATTGGTATGAGGGTTGTACTTCCTAACTTTAGAATGACTAACATTGAAGTATTGACAATGCTTTTATTTTAAAACGGTTTAATATTTTATTGGTTTTGGATTGTACGATGTGTATGGTAATGGTTAACAGCTTATGTACATTCTACTTAATTTTACATTATATTTATAATATAAATTCTATTTGCTTTAAAAATATCATTTAAGGCAATAATATGTAATAGTTTATTAGTAGATAGTATATATTGTATATTGCTCACGCATCTTACATTTTGGCGTGATTTGGTTATATGTAAATGTAATGGAATTAACTATATTATTGGACTTAATTAGTATTATTATTTGTATATAGAAAAATAATGTGATTTTATATTTTCTTCTTTATTATTGACACAAAAAAGATAATATTTATTAAATCTTAACAGCATCATTTTTACTAACAAATCTGGTACTGACTTCAACTTACACATTTTCCACGAATACTAAAAGCGTGCGCGGATACCGTCTTCCTGCCGATATATGAGACATCTCAGTAATAACAAGATAAAACTTGTGCCAAAATTAACAAATTCAGGAATGAAATCCTAATGACATTATTATAGGAGCTGAAAAGAAAATCACCTCGTTTGTGAATGTGTTTTACTATTGCATTGCATGTTTGGCTGCAGTGTTTGTGTTGTCACGCTCTGTTTATTTTTATTTAATATAAATAATATTGCTACTTATGCTCAGTATTAACTTGTTACAAGAATTCGATATTAATTTTCAGATTGATGCTGATTTTCAGATTGATATGAAGTGTGTGTTTTTATTTTGAGTATTTTACTCTAATATCTATTTATAACTAGGTTTTCTTTAGCCATAATTTTAAAACTAAATATAGTAGTCAGCAAAATCCGATAGATTTTTGCCACACAAAAATGGCAAATTCCTGCCTGATGGTAAGCGGTTACCGTAACCATAGCCTTCCTTGAAGTGCAATGGTGCTTACAAATTGTGTGTTATGCAAAGGGTCGCCCGAGCGAGGGCAGCGGCGGCGCTCGCACCAGCTCGGTACTGCCAGACTTGCTAAGCCAGGCCGGCCAGCCCGCCACGCCACCCAGACACGACAAGTCCACCAGTGAAGAGGTAATGTCCCTTTTTGACAGAAGGATTTCTTACGTATACTTTCATAATTTTGTTTGTCGCACCAAAAGATTATTGGATAATATATTATGGGCGCGTATTTATGTAACATTTTATGAATTATTAGTGTTATAAATAGATACTATTCGCTTCTGTTGTTATTTTTGGCACATGGTAATAATTGGTTCTTAGACAGTTCTCCCATTTTTTTATTTTCTATTTGACGTTTCCACGAAGTAACATTTTTTATTGTTCTATATTTAGGAACGTTCAAAGGAACATCAATACCGTAGTCTGTATATAAATAACTGATATGGTATCAAATAAATCTGAATTAAGAATGCTTTTCACGTTAAAACTGGGCGCATACATAGATTTTCTTTTCAAGAGAGTCTAGAGAGGAGACTCGTAAATACAAAAACAAAATTAATTTAAACGAAACTACGTTTAATGATGAGAAGTGTACTAATGATGTGAAAAGAATAAATTTATCATTCCCAAATTTGTAACGTTAAAAATTATAATTTAATTTAATTCAATATTGAAAGGTCAAATGGGGACACCAGGCGTGTGGGTCTAAAACCCACTGAAATATTTTGTCAAATAGAAAATAAATCAATGGGTATAAATATCCTACATGGAAATAGTTATTGTAATTGTTTAAATGTGCCAATTATTAACATAACTGAATATGGCCTATTATATTAGGATATTATTGTGGAGTAAACATTATTTCAACACGACACTCATAATTGGGAACATGACCATTTTCACTAGTCGCGTGCTTAACAAAAATAGCGTAGTTTCAATATGTTATAAGCTTTTAACGTGGATAATTTTGAATTAAATTCATAGAAACATTCCTTATTACGTATTTAACATAATTTGGAGCTTCTAATACTGTTTGTGTCCAAGTATTTTTCTTTTATAGTCTTCCATTGTATTAATGAATACATTTTGTGTCCTTTTTTTTTTTCACTATTAGTGACATAAAATTTTATTTTTAATGAATATATTAAATATTTATAAAGACAAAGTATTAGAAGCTCTTACTCAGGATCACGTGTGGTGGCCAGCTTTTGGTTTATCGTATTAATGTGATAATCGTTGTCGATCATGCAAACATCCCGGAGCCACGATCCGCGACCGGTTCGCAGACATCCGATACCATTGCGTAAGTATTAATCGAGTTGTGCAACAGGACATGCTTCTGTAAAGGTTCTCATAGTTTGTTGTTTGTTAAAAGTTAGACATGTATCATTTCTTCTTATTTATCCATTTTCTTGCTTTCATTTGTATCCAACTATTAGAATATTAATAGCGTGTTGATTATACTTCGGCGTAGGTAAACGAGGAGTTTGAGGTAGCTTTGTAGCCGCAGTAACCGCTGGTCCAACGGGTCAATTGTCAATATATGCGACAGCTTTTATTACAGAACTTTTATATTGCTTGTAAAACAATGTTAATACACAGACATATAATTGAACATACTGGCTGGGACAGATGGATTCTTGTAAACAGGGCTTACTGTTAACCTATATACAAGTTGGAACAGTTTTATATAAATTTAATTACCTTGATTTTAACTTTAAAATAAACAATCTTCGTATTGATTAAAAGGTTTATTTTGAATTTATAGAAATGTAATTAAAGTTAGTAAATTTTAGCCTTATAGAAGTTATAATACTAACTATCGACTTCAAACCTATTACCCGAATCATTTGAATGCGACAACGCTTCCAAGCGAATGCCAATAATAATAAAATCATTGCCTGCATCACGTACGTCATATATATTTATCACGATTCATGTCATGTTCATGAGTCATGAAGCAAATAACTTTCCAACTTTATTTGAAATGTCAACTAATCTTTGGGAGATGGACTTGACTAACCAAACATTTTGATGTATTAAAATTTATGTTTAATCAAAATAAGAAAGAACCAAATATATTTCTAGAAATTTTAAATTAAAAATTACATGAATAAGATTAAAAAAATACAATTTCTGAGATATTACAAAAAAAGCAATACTAAATTTGTGCTATTAGATTTGTATACTAATGAATTTATTTATTTTGCATATGTTTTGTCTGTTACAGTATAGGCAAGCGATTGCGGGAGGCACGCCGCTGCCCCCTCACCACCATCACCATCACCACCCTCCGCCTTCGTCCTCAGTCCAGTCTACCCCGTCCAAGTCCTTCTTGGCGAGCACCGGCTCCCCACTCCAACACTCGCCCTCCAATTCGTCAGTGGGCTCGCAACAATTCCTTCCCTTGCAACAGAAGCAGCGTTCATTCCTCACATTCGGGTTCGGCGCTGGCTCCACCGGTACCGGCGGCACCGGAACTGGCACCGGCGGCTCAAGCGGCAACGCCTCGCGACGCGAGAGCCACGTCAACGTTAACGTCACCCCCACTGGCCATGATCTCTCTTCTGACACTCCTGAGATACGTAAATACAAGAAGCGATTTAACTCTGAAATCCTCTGCGCGGCATTATGGGGTCAGTATGAAAGATTTACTCATATCTGTACTAAAATAAAGCTCGACTTTTTCGTAAATCATATATAAGTGACAAAGATACCACACGTAAAAAACAGACCTCTGGAATTTTTTTTTTAACTGTTAACTTTTTTTTAATGTTAAACTTTTTTAATTTATTTAATATTTTTGCAGGTGTCAATTTGCTCATTGGTACAGAAAATGGTTTGATGTTGTTGGATCGTTCGGGTCAAGGCAAGGTTTATCAATTAATATCACGACGCCGCTTCCAGCAAATGGAGGTTCTAGAAGGGCAGAATATTTTAGTGACCGTCTCAGGAAAAAAGAATCGCGTTCGTGTATACTACCTCAGCTGGCTTAAATCAAAGATCTTGCGTACTGATGGGCTTAGTGACGTAAGTAGACAAACCCTTTCTGTATTTAATCTAATACATTATTTTGTTTTTAAGTTATAATAATACATTTCTATATATATATTTTTCTGTTGCAGCAAGTAGAACGAAGAAATGGATGGATAAATGTAGGCGAACTCCAAGGCGCTGTACATTTCCGAATCGTAAAATACGAAAGAATCAAGTTCCTTGTAATTGCTCTTAAGGACTCAATTGAAATATATGCATGGGCGCCTAAACCATATCACAAATTTATGGCCTTTAAAAACTTCGGAGATTTACAACATAGGTACATGGTTTCAAAATAAAATTACAATAAATAATAATAATTTTATATAACAATTTATTACATGTAAATGTCTTTTCAGGCCTCTATTAGTAGACCTTACTATTGAAGAAGGAACAAGACTGAAAGTTATTTATGGGTCTGCAGATGGTTTTCATGCTGTTGACCTAGACACTGCCACAGTCTATGATATTTATATTCCAAAACATGTAAGTAATATTAATTTTCTATCTACTCATACTCCTTTTAATGAATATAACAATGTTTTAAATTAACATAAAGTAGTACTCCAGTTGATAGACTGTTTTATAAAAACACTGTATTTCGGTTAATGAAGACAAAAAAGAACATTCTTCGAAAAAATTTCAAGAAAAGTTGATGCCAAAGCTTAGCTTTCCCTAATATTTTAGAAATTTCTGTAATATACATCTATTCATTGCAGTAAGATATTAAGTCAGATTTTCTTATAATTTTCAGACACAAGGAGCTATTACTCCTCATTGTATCGTACCTCTTCCAAATTCAAATGGTGTGCAATTGTTACTATGCTATGATAATGAAGGTGTATACGTAAACACAAACGGACGAGTTAGCAAAAATATAGTACTTCAAGTAAGTATCAATAACAGGTCATGGTTATCCCTATATATTTGCCATTCCAAGTTGTATAAAAAAATATACCAAATTGTAGGGGTAAATTTAATGAATTCCACCTATTTTCTACAATTTGTCTTCTATAATTTATTTTTTTAATTATAAATTTTAAATAAACTACAGTTTATTTAAGAATTTTCCATGAAATTTAGCAAGGGAGGCTAGAATACGCAATAGAACCTTAATCAGTCATATTTGTCTGTTACATTATCACAAAATATACAGAAAGGATTTCAACACAATTTTATAATATAGTAGTAGTACACATTAGTGTTCTATCAGAATCAGTCAAGCGAATCATGACAATAATTATCACAATAATCACGTTGCATGAACCCCTTTGTATGAGGTTTTTAGTCATTTAGTTACATTAGTTTTTAGTCACACAGTGTCTTTATAATTATGTAACTATTTTTAATCACCAACTAATTAAACCTTTTAATTTTTCCAGTGGGGTGAAATGCCTACTTCAGTCGCATATATCGGAACAGGACAAATCATGGGTTGGGGTAACAAAGCTATAGAAATTCGCTCTGTTGAAAGTGGACACCTTGACGGCGTTTTTATGCACAAGAAAGCTCAGCGACTTAAATTTCTATGTGAACGTAATGATAAAGTATTTTTCTCTTCTGCCAAAGGTGGCTCATCTTGTCAGATATATTTCATGACGCTCAACAAACCTGGCATGGCTAATTGGTAGTGTCAGGGGGCTACCTACAATGAGAGCGCCCGCGATCTGTGATGTAAGTCTGCGATGTACGCAACGTAACTCCTGTTATGTACATGTCATTATTGTACAACATGCCAGTAGTTAAGTCAATAAACATTACAAAAGTTTTATCAAATGGTTTGGCCATTCGTAATTCAAAGACTTGTGATAGTGGCAGATTTATAATGTGCTCAAAAGACAATCCACAAAATATTATTACAATCAAGTGTACGAGGACCCTCTTTTATTGAATTGAATGGTACCATTTTGTACTGACATTATTACAATTCGAAATGCTGATAAATATTGTAATATTAAGCAATAACCTTTAGGATAAATATTTTGATATTGACAAATATTCATAAGTAAGTTAAATACTGCTTAGGTTTTATATTATGTTGCAATTGTTTATTTCTTAAAGAAAATGTAATTCAAGCTATTAATTCATATATGCCATAATTATTATATCGTTTGTAATGGTAAGCTAGTTGGGTGAAATATAATTGGTTACGAAATAACATTTGTTTGCAAATCAGAAGCAATGCCATGTCCGACACATTCTAAATAAAGTTTTATTACAATTATTGACAATTTATATGCAATTTAGGTAATGTAAATTTAATCCTCGAATCTTTAAGGCTACTTTTATAAATTGGCATTTAGTCGAGTCACATTGTATTATAATTACTACACCAAACATTTTTAATGGATAAATCCTAAAATTTGGTACTATTTATTATTTATTTGTTACTATGTACTATATTATTTACATGTATAAAGATGTAACTGTGCATATTGAAAATTATATATTTGATGACTTTTTATTTCAAAAATATCTTAGTGAAATAAAATATTTAAAAATGATTTATGTTTCTTGTCTACCTTTGATGCAAAATACAAAACATTTTATTGGAGTAACATCTACTCTTAAGGTTTTAAAATTGGCGCAATTGCCTTATGATAAAGTTAAAAAAATTCGCCATTCTCATGGTGCATTTTTTTACAGAACATGACCAAAACCAAAGGTGTTTATTATATTTTATTGTTCAAAGGAATTTTTTTAAAAAGTAATCTGCTTAGACACCACTAACTTGTATTTCTGTTGTGAAGCAACTTTGCTTCAAACAACCAATCAAGTGTTTGTTGCAATGAATTTATAGAATATATATAATAATGTTTCTGAAGAATATTGTGTAGGTATATATTCATCAGAATATATATCACGGTGAAATATTCTTCAGAAATAACAATACATGAGAAGTACCTAGATCACATAGTAGTGTGATTTCCATGATGCTGTTCATGTCCATAAGTGACAGTCCTCGCTCCATTTCGTGGCTGTCTGCTATATAATGCAAAATAATATGCTTATGCTTGTTCTTTCAATTTAAGTAATTGCCACCAATTTTGATTGATTCTATCAACGTTGTGCTTAGGGAGACACAGTGAAATATTCTTATTTCTGTGGATCTTGAAACTGGCTGATTATTAACAATATTAGTTATGCTATGCTATTAGTTTACATTGGTGTGCTAGCAGTGAGGATTGACAGGTCAATTGGCCTATTGTAACAAATTCATCAAGAGTTAAATATTACAACTACAGAGGAACTGCATGTAATTTAACCTGTCAAGATGTATTCCTAACAATGAATTGCTTGTAAGCTTGGCAACTTTGACAATTCATATATAGGAAGTCAGTAAGGGAAGGGTTAAAGTTAAAATATTCAGGTGTTCCCTCCCATATATAACCACAATACAAAGAAATTATATGACTATAGCTATAATTTCTTTGTATTGTATCACATAAAAAGCTATGCAACAAAATGAGGTGTATCTATTAATGCTTAAAATACTAGTTACCTATAACCATAATTTTGAACCTGTATGAATATTATACCTGTTTAAAAATCTAATTTCTATGTAATCCAGAAAAACCTTCAGAGAAAGCTTATCTAATAATATGCACATGTGGGGGGAAAGGAATTGTTAGCAATGGAGTTTGACATTGCTAGCAATATTATATCAACCCTATTAGGTCGACCTCCACCTGGAAACCATAAACAATTCTTGTTGAATTCATCACGATGGGCTAACTAACCTGCTTTATCCTCACCTATCATCCTTTACTGGTGCCTCACCGGTGTATACCGATAGCGCAGGTGGGGTTACCATTCCATTATCATCCATTAAAAAAAAATATGCAGCATATAAATATCCTATATGCTATTATTTAGGCTCTAAAATATTGGAGAATGATATAATGAAATAAAATTTATTTGTTCAAAACATTGAAGCATTTTTTATTTATAATACTCAAAATAAGTCACCACTATAACAAAACAATATTATCAGGTCACATTATCTGGTTTTTATACATACACACAATAACACAATCAAAACACTTGATTCTCATCTGTTTATTCCACTGTAATTGTTAAAAATAAGTATAAATCCTGTAAAATTCTAAGTAGTGTTAACAACACCTGTTATTATATTTATGGAATAATTCCAGCTTTTGATAGCCCTTCTGTCTCTTTTAATGACATAGGTACTAACATCAATCCAGGCACAGGTGGTTGCATTTCCAAATCTCTTAAATTATTTACTTTTACTTTTAGATCACATCGCAGCTTATTAATATCTATATCTAATTGCTTCTGATCTTTTTCTAGAAGAGATCTTGCTACTTCAGTATTGTGTTTAATTAACACTGAGCCTACTGTCAGCCAACATTTTTGCTGGTTTGATTTCGTGAGATTCCTCAAAGCTTCACGATTTTGGTTTCTTCTTTTGTCTAACAAAACAATTTCACGCCTATCACACAATATTTCTTCTGCTAATTTTTCTACTAACACAAGATACTTCAAAACCTTTTCCTGGTCCTGGTCCATCATGACATAAACTAATATTATATTATTTTAGCGAATATATGTATGACTTTGAGTACCAAAGCTTTCATAGTTTCATTTCGTTAGTTTTTGCCTTACGCTATAAATTTTTATATAATAAAATAACTAATTTGTATAATAAAATTCTATTGTTTCTATAACATTGACGATAGACATAGTGTAATATGCTCGATGATCATCAATGTTCGATGATCATCGATGTTGCTACACGAAAATATCCTAACATCGATGTTAACGAATTGATAGTCGATCATCGATGTTACTCACGGTCTCACGCACGACCAATGCGACGTATGAAACAAATTAATTTCATCCTTTGTTAGTAAAAATTTCTGTTATGCTGTTGTGCGTGCGTCGGACAATTTGAGTACTATTGCCCTGCAGTCAGTCCATACAAAATATTGGAATATACACAAACATTGTTGTTTGTTAATACATTTCGAAATATATTACTGTATTTTATTATGTTGTTAATTATCAGTGCTAAAATTATCGATGTTACCCAAAATCGATGTTCGGTTTGTGATGAATATCGAAATTCGATGTTTTTTTTTAATGGATGATTAATGGAATGGTAACCCCGCCTACGCTATCGATAAACTGGTGCCCCAGTGAGGGGTGATAGGTGAATAATGAAAAAAGGCAGGTCAGTCAGCCCATCGTGATGAATACACATGGAATTCAGCACGATGGTTTCCAGAAGGAATCGCATGGAGGTCGACCTGACAGGGTATATTGCTAGCAATGGGACTGATACCCCGCATTACTAACGATCCTATCTCCCGGAAATTCGATATTGAGTTTTCGATTATGACATCGATGTTTTTCAAACATCGATTATCTCTAACATAGTGTCTCTAATAATCTAACTAATCTGTTAGCCTTGGGGAGAAAGGGATTGTTAGTAATGGGGTCTAATAAATATACACTAGCCTGCTATGAATTGACAATTTTATCACTCCTTCTATAGAATTCCTTGTTCTCAGATATAACCACTGCGTTATAAGATTTGGCAGTGGTTATGAAACTTGAGAAATGAAATATATGTTACATTTTCGAAGTAACAACAAAATGACACAAATTCTTTCTTTTAATAATTTTACAAGATAAGAAGAGTACAGCTTTGGATGTTTTCTTTTAGCCCATCTTTAGTATTTATTACTCTTATTGTAGTGAATATTCCTCTGGAATAATTTATATAATTAAATCCATTTTGATGTATTTACAATTTTTTAATAGTGTGGAGGATAAATTAATATCATACTATTTATCTTTGTATATATTATCACTTATGTTATTTCAGTTCATATCACTAAACAGTAAGAACTATGATAAGAACAAGGCTACGGAATTTTTATTAGTAACGCGGACTGTCAGCCCCATTACTACCAGACCCTATCAGGTCGACCTCCACGCGGTTCTCACTGGAAACCAGTAGTTAATTCTTGTTCAATTGATAATTACGGGCCAACTGACGTGTCTTCATCCTCACCTGTCACCCTTCACTGGCAGCCTGCCAGCGTATACCGGTAGCGCGGGCAGGGTTACCATTTCATCTTCACCCATAAAAAAATAAAAAAGTATACCCTGTCAGGTCGACCTCCTCATGGTCCCCCGTGGAAACCATCGTGCTGAATCCTAGGTGTATTCATCACGGTAGGCTGACATTCTGCTATATCCAATCCATATCGATTCATATTTTATTCTCCTATGTATCATGTCTTTTTTTAATTTTTACGCAATAAATAAAACAAATAGAATTTTAGTGAACTATGTTTATTCAAAAATAACTACCTTTGTCATGGATGATGTTTAAAACTTTCTTTTTATTATGTATACATAAAAATTTGTTGAATGTCTGAATATTATTTACAAGAGCATTTTAAAGTTTACGCCAATGTTCCTGAACATCTTTTTGACAGCGACAGATAAAAATGAAGAAAAAGAAGAGTCATCGAGATTTGGCGATTAGCGCTATTTTGTAAAAGAAGTGATACCATACGTTAATTAACGTAACCCCTTCCTAAAACTAGTGTTAGTATTCATTAATAGGACGCTAGATTTTTTTTTTGCCTAGAGAAAATAATAGACATGTAATACAATGGTAATTTATATAACTACTTTCGGCGTCACGACTGTCCTTTGATGAGGCGTTGCTGCCTTTGTCCGATTTTCCCGTGACCTGTCACATGCTTACGTATATCGCTTAAGTATATCTGGTAATATATTAACAGTGTCCTCTCAGTCCTTTGCGGGGTACGGAAAACCAGTTTGGACTAACGAATAAGGGCAACAGTTTACCCTTCTTCGGTAGACAGACGGTATGTGTCAACCACCGTACATAAAAATCGTTTTCGTCAAAGTGAACATAGTCCGATGGTCCTCTAATTCTTGTACTATCCAGCTCACTCAGTCTTCGCCTGCCGAGGGAGATCCCGTACGGGGGAGGCACAGCGTATGAATGAGCCTAATAGCACTATCACTCTCGCTAAGGAGCGGCATCGTCTGTACTCGGGTGAACAGTAAATTTGTGCGCGTACGGTCTTGACTCCGGTGGCCACGCATTCAGCAACGCTAGGTCCTTTAGGTGGTCCTAGTCGGACGTATCTACACGCGCGATCTCCCTTATGACTAAGTCTTCTGTGTGCGCCCAATGTGAGAATCTCAAAGTCCTCTTAAGAGTGGCATTCCTCACGTATTTGTGCACGCCGGTCATGGTACCCAGCGTGAAGTTCTGTTAGGCCCTGTTTCCTTTCTAGAGTATTCGCTCGTGATTATGTACCACAATCTACATGCTTTGTTGATATAGACGACAAAACGTAGACTACGTTGCCTGCGAGGAAGGAAGCCACCATTTGGATAAGCGTTAACTTGTACAGCAGACCGTTGTGCCAGACGCGGTAGAACGCCTTTCCCATGATCAGAAATGCTTCAACTTGTTCTCTCTTATTATGGGCATATGTGATTATACCTTGGTAAATTACCACCAGGATGTTCATTGTCTGTCAAATCGAACTCTCCACTTTTAAATTGACGAAACCATGTCTCACATGTTCTAATCACTGGAGTATGTTCACCATAAGTTTCTACCAGCAACCGGTGAGCTTTAGCTGCTTTTTTCTTTTGATGAAATAAGAAAAACAACGAATGCTGCAAATGCGATTTACTTGGAACGAAACTCGACATATTCACTGAGGTAAACATTATTACTACACCAGGTAAACATTAGTACAAACGCTATTATTTTGGCGGAATGTGACTTGCGTATTTTTGTAGGTTATTGTCAATAGAAAAAAATGACATACATGCCAAATCATAGAAATTTATACATATTGCTAGCGACATCTACTAGTAAAACTGGCAAACTTCAACTAACACCCCTGGTAGTAATGTTAAATGCTCTGCTCTAAAGCCGAATTTCTTCTGTTTATAGTTTCACGTGCGGACGTAGATGTTTGAGGAACAACATACGTTTGACACATGCTGCAACGTTACTGGCCAGTATGATTCCGGTTGCAAATATGTTCTTCCCGGGCTTAGGCAGCGTGATGACTTTACCTATATTCCAATAGTTTAAGTAATTTCCTTAAAGCATAATACCATTGTACAGGAATCTCTATGACCCAACCAGGTCGACCTCCTCGCGGTTCTCCCTGGAAATTATCATGGTTAATTCCTGATGAATTCATCATGATGGGCTAACTGACCTGTTTTTCATTCTCATCTATCACCCTTCACTGGTGCTCCGCCGGCGTATCCCGTTAGCGCGGGCGGGGTTGCCATGCCATTTTCACCCATCAAAAAAAAACTGTCAATAAATGAGTCCATGAAAACAGATTATCAACATTCGTATTACATAAGGACCAGCTGATTTATGATCATGGTAATGATTATGATATTAAAGGTATGTTGGGTGGTTAAAAAAGTTACCTAGTCGTTTAAAACTTCATTTCTCATTCGAGAATGAATTCAAGGTTCACAATTCATTATGTACTATAAATGAAGGTAATGAAGACAAACTACGTGATAAGCATCTTCGAAATAACTTAAACGAATGTGTGAATATACCTCCATTTTTTTTTTACTTGTAGACATTGTCATGTCAGTTTAAAGAACTTAATAATAACTGTGTCATAAAATAAAATCGCGTGCAATTTGTATATTGCTATGCAACCACAATATCTATGTTACAATATGTTCACAATATCTAATATTATCTATAATAATTTATTTAAGTATTTATATAAGTTGTTTTAGGGGATGGGTTACGTAAATAACATATCCTTTGGCAAACTTTCACTCGGAAATAAAATTTGCTGCTTATAAGTAATAAGCTTTAGCGTTGCGGTTTATAGTTCATAAATTAAGGCGATCATTTAGGTAAACTACGATTTACCTAGATTATCTCAAAGTTTCGATCAGACCGTCCACAACATTTTGCCAAATTTCTCCAAACCCATTTCACTGTTCTCCAAGTCTTCCCAATAATTTAATTTCTCCAAAATTTCTCGAGCATAAAAATGTTTACCCAAAATTGCGAAAGAAATACGTAATCTGGCAACGCTATGTAACGCTGTTATGCTTTCGCTTTCGAAGTATGATTTTTCTTTTACCCATCATTATTCTATCACACAAATTGTGTCTCTATCAGTGACAGATTTATACATCTGCCGCCAGTAGACTATTCAAAACCCACCCTTAGCGATCTATACAATTCGATAGTACACTATTCTGTATCAAAATGTAATCATTATATAATAGGCTTATTATTGTTACACCTTTTTTAACATGTAATACCCATATTATTTAAAAATATAAAAAGTGCCGCCTGTTTTTGTGCTGATTTATTGCATTAATATGTTTGATTATTATAACCGGAAATCTGAAACAAAGAAATATCAATTAAAGGACATAATAAAACTCCTAAAAACTAAATATGACTGAAATATATTTATACGTTTTTATTAGATACTGTCTATTAAAATGAAATATTCGATTATACAAGGCCATTTTTTAATCACTATCCAAATTTTTTTATAGAATTATATATCACTTATAGAGTATATTTTTCATTAAAGCATAAAGTTTTAATGAAATTAGTAAAATCGAGAGATTTAATAAAAGAAGTTCCTGACTGGCCTCTTAGTAATAGCTTGGGTGATACTGCGTCGAAGGTGCAATTTACGTTGTCTATTCTGTCAATAGATATTAGGCAGGTGAGTAACAATGACATATTTAAGATTTATGATTTAAGAAGTACTATTTCGTTTAAATATGTTATAGATGAATACAATAATATATAGGTATTTAATAATATACAAGACTAAAGACATGTCTCACGAATAAAGTGACAGCAACGAAGGATTATGTCCAAAGGTGAACAACATTTCAATTGTAATGAATTATTAATATTTACAACATACCTTTAATACGCTTCTACGTCGCTGGACAGATTCTTGTAAATCAGTTGTTTGAAGAATATCCAATGTATAAAAAGTTTTGCCAATTTCTTCTTAGTTTTGCATTTTTTCATCCATCGTCTGAAATATAAAGAAAAATATGAAGCAACCATACATAATATGCTCGTTGTTATTTGTAAAATATTTTTAAAGAAATCGAGATAATGAGCGAGTCAGTGTCATCTCAAGCCACAATTTTAAAATGCTTATCTAATCGATTGTTATATTGTCCTGTCATAATAAACTTTTACCTAATATATTAACTATTGCTTTTCGTGAGTAATTAGAAGAAAAGCTTTACTGGCGTGCATTCCAATTCTCTACCTTTCCTGTAGTTCTACAGTTCATTCTTAATAAATGCCTACATAAAATCAAATTTTTAGATTTAAACGTTTATTTAAATATGGCCTTGTGCTAATAAATTATACATAACATTTCTTATTATATTCTTTATGTACCTAAATACTATCATCTACATATTCATTAGAGATTATAGCCTTTATCATAATGACGGATACCCACAGTGAAACGAATGGTCGAAAGTACATATTACAAAATATATATATATTTATTTGCCTTCAATCAGTTGCTATGATTCATATTCAATATGTTAACAAAAATATAGGTAAAGATTCAGGCTCAACTTTAGTTGTGATTAGTATTCACCAAATGCTTTACATTACCATTTACGCTAGCTACCTGAACAAATCTCATACGGAAGAGTAGGTAATGATGGCTTAATGAATAAAATTTATTATAAAAAATGTATACTTTTGTTTTGTAATTATTACAACGATTACAACATAAATTGTTGTACTGATGAGAAAAATTAATAACATAAGTGACCGCGGGTATCCTCCTCTTAGTAGTACGGGTAGGTTCCCACTGTAGCGAGAATATTATATTATATTCTGTGCCGGAATCAGTAATACGATCAGGCTCTTGCTAAATTATTAATTAAGTTTGCTATGTCACTATTCATATACATTTTGTAGTGTTTTATAATTCTTACTGATAATTGATCTAATATAATCACACTGATGAATTGATCTTTCATATATAATGATTTCAATTTTTATATACGATACGTAGATTGCATATTTCATATAGTATCTCATAGATTGCGTATTCAGCGTCACTACAATTATATATTTCTTATGAACAACTTTTCAGCTACAACGCTTATTACGAGTGACGCTAACAAATAAGTATTTATTTAATACGGAAATATGATTTCTGGTAGTATGCTGCACATTGGAATATTATTTCAAAACATTAAAACAAAGGTGTAAGAGATGTGTACATCAGAGCTTAAATTGTCTTAAACAATTAATTTCTAATATCCAGTTAGCGCCTATGAAAATAGTTATTTTATGCTTCATAATCCGGAAGATATTTCTTCGTGAATACAAGAGACATGCATTTATATCAATATAATCTTAATAGATTATTAGACGATATTTTTTTTAAATGTATCCAATTACAGAACACACAATTTTATAACAGCATTGCATTTCTACTTTATGACATGATATATGAGTATTAATAGTATTATTCAATTTTCTAGCTAAAATACCTGCGTAAAAATACTTATTTCCGGAACACTATCGTAATTAATAATATTTGAAAATATAATTATGGAAATGTTCGTTACCTGCTTATTCTTTAACGTCATAAAAATAAATCTTCAAGTGTACACACGGCAAAGTGCAATTGCACACTTGTAATTCTCTGGCTCTTCTCTTGTCGATAATACCTTGTATCTATGATTAACCTTATTAATTAAAATATTTCAAAAATGACAAAATAATCTGCAAATAAAGTCATTATAATATTGCAACTATCAATTGTAAAATCTTTGCCAATTTTCATTTTTGACCATTTTGTTCAATTCGACCACGAATTTAAATAAAATACTCGCAATTATATTGAAAAATTGTCACGTTAAAAACGTTTCATCGTTATAAGAAATCTTATATGCATATAATGTATAATTCAATTAGATTCGCTTTGTATACCACTTTATACTTACTACAATTACCCCATTGCCAATAACATTGTATGTTATTCTTTAGACTCTTACTTACTTAGTCTTCTAATCACTAAACCAATAAACTGTTTAACTAATAATTCACCTTTTTGGTATTTAAACCAACCCTCTTATCTAAATCATATGAGAAAAGAAATACACATAAGTATATAGTGAGGGATATGATAGATTAGCTGCACATAGCATAACCCTTTTAAGAAGTTACGCGTTTTAGATGATTAAAAATCTTATTTTTTTTTTTTTTTTTCTTATAGACTATAGCATATTTCTAAGAAATATTACTTTTCTAGATATTTTAGGCTACTATTAAAGACATGTCATAAGTTTAAAATTAAATATAATAATACTGTTACAGTATACTCTTTAATATTTGGCTAATTTTAAAATACTTACGTTCACCTTTAAGAAAAAGTAATTTAAATTATCTTTATTCAGATAGATTTAGTTAAAAGCATTTTTAATTCATAATTTTTTTATAAATACAGGATTCGGAATTCGTTATCTGTTAAGAAAGAACCCACAAGAAACTCAACAGTTACTCTTTTAAATCTCTGTTAACATGTGTATTTATTTAAATGTACTATATCTAAAATTACATGGTCATTAAAAAGCCATGTACTCGTTTAGTGTATTAGGCTATGTTAAATAAGTGGTTTTCAATAACAATTTTAAATTTATTAAAAGGTAGATCCAAAATATCCTTCGATACCTTGTTATAACATTTAATGCCAATTCCCATAAAAGACCTGGTAACTTTTTCTAAAGTATACGTATAATAGTATAGTATAAGTAGTAAGATCATTGAGATCGGCGTTTTTAAAAAACAGTTGAAGATTCGTCCGTATATATAAAATGTTTATATATATGTATTATGAAGCTACGGAGAAAATATAGGCTTCTTAAAATTTATCTCTTGGGTGATTCACAACTTCCAATAGAATAAATCGCGCAAATTGCACCTTTTTGTAATAGAAATATGCTTTGGATATCGGCTGCATAATAATATTCTATAGGACAGTATACTTTGGAAGTAACTAAAATAAACTGATCTAGCAGTCTCAATATTAGTATACTGTTTAACTCTGGGTACAGCATATGCTGCAGAACTTAGTTGTAAAGTTTCGAATGTGAGGATCCCAGTGAGTTTTATTACCAATTTCCAAGAAAGAAAGTAGAATCTATAAAATCAAGAGGTTCGTTATTTACTTTGCAGTAAGATAATTTATATATTTATACTAGGATGTTTTAAACTTAACAATAGTTTCAAATTTGTAACACCACTTTTTACAGATATAATTATTGAAACTCTTGCACAAAAGTTTCCTGATCCTAAGCGGGAATAGGACACTCAAAGATATAGAACATAACGAAATTTATCAATTTAGGAAGTTATTGATGCATCTTTCATATGTACCTATGACCATATACAATTAATACGTATAACATACTCCTAAAAATCATACCCTAAGCAACAGTAATATGATTTACAGATATTCAAATTTGAAAAATATCACAAGCCTATTCCTATCCTACAATAACAGACCACATTTTTATGAATATTTCTGTAAACTTAAATATAGAAACATAATGCATACTAAAAATCTGGAATGGAATAGAATTTTAGTTTGCTATTAAAACTTCGCCATTAAATTTGGGTCAGATTTAGTCATTTAAGATATAATTTTTCCTTAATTACCTTGAATATTTTTTAGGGTGGCATTTATTCTTGTACCCTGTAAACTTTAATATATATATTTATAATCTGTAAATGTATTATGTTTTACTGTAATACATTTTAATATTCGTAAATATATATAAATACATGGATTTCATTCCATTAATTTTTTTCTTTTCCCTTATATTTCAATAATTCTCTGTAGAAAATTATGGATTTTCTATGTAAATATTTTAATACGTATATTTTACAGTATTCACATATTATTTCAGTGCTGATTTTGTCTTCAATTAGGTTGACTAACGAGTTATTAAAACTTCCTCGCAACATGAATTCTGTTAAATTGGTAAAGCCATTTCGAGATCAATCATCAGTGTATTAGCATATTGGTGCAGTATGTGACCATCAAATAAATTACACAATATATTTCATAATTTTATTACGAAGGGACCTTAAAACTAAACATTATGGTATTTTATATACCGTTTTTATTAAACCGTTTATATTCTAATTCTTCAATTATTATTACTCTATAATTTACTATTACACTCTTATTTTGAGAATTATCAAATAAATTTTGACATCATGATAAGGACTCCACAAAAGTACAATTCATAATATAGGATAAGTATAAATCTTTAGTTGTAAAATGAACTTTCGAGTTATTGAATACTTTCTGTATGTCATTAAATTTAAATGAGTCTAGCATTAAAATATTTTGTATAATGAACCACCTAAGCTTAGATATTCAAAATAAATAATTTATGTCCATATGCTTCATTAAATTGATCCAGCTATTATTGTGGTATATAGATGAGAATCATATTCTGTTATAGTCAAACAGATCACCAACTGCCTGTAATGTAATGCAAACAAATATGTGATTATGTATGATAAAGCCTAAAAAAGTTATAATTGTTTCTTATAGTATTAAACTCACTGGACATTTATATCTTTAAAGAACCTCTGTAATTAGTAATATTATCGTGACGTTACATTTGAGTACATTTTAATAATTAAATCAAAATATTTTTTAATATATTTTCAAATGAGTTGATAATTTTCATTATTCATCCTATAGAATAACAAATACATTGAAACAATTTTTTTTATTTACATTAAATATAATAGAGAAATATAGCGTTATTCTATTTGTACCCAAATGTGAACCACCTAATAATAAACCTAAAAGTATTCATTATTTTTAACAAGTTCTTTTGATTACCTTATACATAATATTCTCTTAGTTTATTTTTAATGAATTAATATATGTGATGTGTACACACGAACGAATGCTTATAGAGCTAACTCCTTAAATATATTCATGAATTAATTATCTTTTTATTACGAAATACCTGAAAATATTTCATGGGATATGTGATCAGTTCATTGCACATTTGTAATATTAAAAATATATACAGTGGATTTTATTTATAACGTTTTTTGTATCTAGTCCTACAGTTAAAAGCGGTATAACATCTGTACTTTTTGAAATTTTATAATAATTTCTCGAAATGGCATAGATAAAGTCAATAAGCGACCTACTGGAATTCAATGAATCAATGAAGAAACCTATTGAAATTCAAGCGATACGGTGTATTGACAAAGACTTGGCATATTATCGTATCTACCTTTTATCGTTTGGTTATATTCACAACTCATGTTGGCAACTCTGGCCATTTATTTCGACTAGTGGTAAGGAAAAGATTACCTAATAAAGTTCAATGACAAATAATGTTAGCATTAAATATAGCTTATCGAGTATAAACAATGGCACCTACAATTGACTCACGAATATTAGACATTCTGATACAGTATCGATTTGTAGAAGTGCAATGCCATCGTTATAACCAAAATCCACTTTATACTGATAATAACAAATGATAGTTCCATAGATGTAGGTTATAAATACTAAAATATCTTAACATAAATACTCATTTCTTACCTACGTAAATGTTATCATATATTGTGTAACTAATTTATGCTTCGAAAATTCCCCCCAAAAATTTTTTCAGTTACTTCGAGAACCTAATATATGTAATAAAATTTGCATCTTAATATTACATCATGATCGTGTGTACTTACCATAGTTGTTGTATTGAGTTTGAGGTTGCTGGTAAGAACTGTAGGAAGGTTGAGAGTACGAATCATAAGCAGGTGCGGGCCCACCGTATGCGGGCTCCGCTACACCGTAGCCAGCATCACCAGCGCCTCCTGCGGCGCTGCAATCGTTTCAAACAAAATATATTTAATTAACTACCTTATTATTAAACACAAATCATTTTAAATTTGTCTCATTTGGCCGACTGATGTGCCTTAATCACTATTAAAAAAATCAAGTTGTAATCATTAATATTATGTCAATCTACATGGTTGATGATTCAATGACACAGGGTTTTATTTAAAATTTTCTTTCTCTTGTTATAAAAAGGGAGATAGATTATAATTTATTTTCCCTGCAACAATAATAACAAACAACCTATAATAAATAGTTTTTAATATAAGTTATACTCACCCATAGTTGTCATTTTCATAACCGCCTTGGCCACCAGTTGAATAGCCATAGCTTGATCCATATCCGCTGGAATTATATCCTGAGTTAGCCTGAGCAGGAGCCGGTGCTGAGTAGTTATTGCTCTGATAAGAGCTATGGAAAAGTATAATATTTTTAATGACTAAGCAAACAAAATTAGAACAAAATATTGAGGCACATATTCAATCAGAATCTATGTTATCTGCATCTGTGTGTCAGACGGCAATTCCTATCTTGATAGATATAGGTTCATCATTTTCATGTGAAAATAAATGGGCATGTCTATATGGTATATACGTTGAATCTAGAACTTACCTAGGAGTGCTATAAGAAGGCTGGGCATATGGATCTGGAGCTGGCTGTTCATATGGTTGATATCCAGTATGCCTAAAATTAAAAAAATATACATATTTAACAAATTGAAATGAATATAATTAATTTACACTAAATTGTAATTGTATCTTCAGAAAATTGATATCGTCAGTTAAGTATCAGACGGCACATTCCTATCGTGTTTCTGGATCATCATTAGAAAAAGTTATGAGTTTGTAATTTTCTAGTATACTAAAAATTTAAGACCAATATGTAAATTTTATAATAAATGCAAACTAAACTTACTACCACTACACTAAACACTATAGACATAATACTGGAAAAACAAAATATTAATCTTTGGTTGTATTGTCTTATGACACCTATAACAACAATTAAAATTATATATATTAAATTTTTCCCAACTTTGAGTGAAATATCTGATTATGGCCTGCCTCTCTTCTGTTTGATCAAGTTCAGCATATTTTTATCATTATCATCATCTCAGCCTTTAATTGTCCACTGCTGAACATAAGCTTCCCCCTTGGGGATTTTGCCCGTAGTTACCATGCTTGGCAGGTGGATTGGCAACCGCAGTGAAGCTTTAAAGAAGTTTTAAGAGGGATGCTGCTGCCCATTCCTCGCTTTCCCTTAGTCGGCTTTTACGACAACCACGGGAATGGGAGGTGTGGCCTATATACAAGAACCACACGGCAATATTACGGCGGTATATTTCTATAGTTACTTTTAATTATGTTTTTACAAAAAGCATGCAAAATTTTTAGTATAGATTTGATTACAATATATTTTATTAAGAAAAGATTAACATACGAAGGTCCATAGCCATTTGGTGGAGCTGGAGTGTTGTGCTGAGGTGGTGCCGGCTGATATCCTCCGGCCTGTGGTGGTCGGCCCCCACCTCCTCCTCGTTGACCATCATATCTAAATCACATACTTAGTTCAATAAAAAGGAAACCAACATGTCATAATTCACACTTTAAGTTATATTACATTGCTCCAATTCAAAATTATGGCAATTAGACTAACTTTAAAAAAATTTGATTTCCCCATCAAGGTAGTAAAAAACCAAAACAATTTTTTAACTAGAAAGTGTACTTGTATGTATTTTATTAAAACTAGTTTTAAAAATTATGAGCATCAAGAAAAAATAATAGCTAACTAATAATATGGTTTCAATACACAGCTATAGAATATAAAACACGCATAATAACTACAGACAATAACAAAATAGAAATCCATATTCAAAATATGTATACAAAGATATGTACAGATAAAAGTGCTTAATTCATACATAATTTTGAAATAGAACATAAAATCAAAGTGTCTTGACAGATGGACGAACAGTTGGAAAAGAAAGTGATTGTAAGAGTTCTAAGAGTTTAATTTTTCTATTGAGATATGGTACTCCAAAGTTACTAAAAATAGGCCACATAAAGAGAGAAAATGCTGGCCTTTATTGCTAAAAGTAATTTCAGTGTTCCTGAGGGAGACTATGTACAAATATCATCTGTTTTGGAATTTTTGCCCCATTTGTTTCTGCTGTGAAGCAGTTGTGTTTAGATGGCTGTTGAAACACAGCCATCAATTTGAAGAGTGAGATATGGAAATAAAATTACTGGGTACAGAAGTATAACACCTTAGTCCTCAGAAATGGCAATACATAAAGGGTATCATGCGTGACACAGTATATAGTTTTGTCCATGGTACTGGTCATGTCTATAGGCAATGGTTACCACTTTCCATCAGGTGAGCCATCAGCTTATTTGCCACTCTAAGTTACTAAAAAAGTTATCTTAGAGTCAGATTGAAGAATTCGAAAATCAGTTAATATTTTGAATTCATTGAAGAAAGACATAAGTTTATATTACAAATATATACAGGATGTAGGAGACAGGTTATATATATAATTTCCTTCCATTTTCCAGGGAATATATACCTTCCTCTCTTGGGTGGTCCACCTGGACCACCATGGGGACCACCACCCCTCTTGAAGGGTGGCCCTTGGGGCTGATGTGGTGGCACAACTGGGACGCCAGCAACAGCGGGTGCTCCTGGTGCTACGTGTGGTGCTTGGCGAACTGCCGGGCCGGGGGCTCCGGGAGGACCACCCGCCGGAGGATGTGGTCCAGGCCCACCTGGGCCTCCTGGCGGAGGACCACCAGGCGGTCCATGTGGTCCTCCGCGACCGCCGCGACCTAATAACAGAATATAAGAGAGCAATATTAAGCAATATTGTAGTTAAATTATTATATGTATTAACTTCTCCAACCATAGTAGGCTGGAAGGAGAAGAGATGTTAGTGAATGGGATTAGTGACCACATTAAAAATTTGTAGAATTGAAAACTTTTGGAAAAATTATTAAAGAAATACCTCTCATAGGCATACCACCACCACGGCCGCCCCTGTCACCACGTGGACCAAAATCTCCTCTGCCTCTACCGCCTCTTCCTCTCATACCACCAGGACCTCCTCTATTATTGAATCCACCTCCTATAAATATAAATACAGTCATTAATATTGTATGAAAATGCAAATAAGTGATAGTTGAACTGCCATAGTAAATACCACAAACTTGTTTGCTATTCCAAAAGTAATTTATTCTAATAATTGATTTTGTAAAATTTGAAGTATGAAGTTGGCTAATCATATATATTTTTATTGCATAAAATACACTTCACATCCATGTATATATATATGTTTAGAAATAAAATTTATGATGATCATACTTTGTGGAGGTCCTCCTCTTGATTCAATTGTTGGTACAGGATGTGGACCGGGACCCTGTGGTCCTGGTGGGAAACTTCGGCCACCCCTATCACCTCCCCCACCTCTCATAGGTCCTCCTCGAAACCCTCGTGGACCACCCCGTGGGGGCCCACCTCGTGGAGGTCCACCACGACCTCTCATACCAGGTCCGCCACTAAATAATAAAAACAAAACAAGATTACAATATACTGCCAAAAGAGGCCTATTGTTAATAAACATGAAAAACCCTTACTAAATGTTATTCTGTCAATTTTTAATTGAACTTTTTGAATTAGCAGCTAGAAACTGTATGAGAATAATATGGGGTTTTTGTTTATTCAGGAAATATTGTGAATTCTTATCTTCATAAGAACTCCTAGACTTCAACAAATATTTAAAAAAGATTTAGGATTATTCCTGCCATTCCTGAGTTTTGTACTTAGCAACTCATTTTTATTTATAAAGATAGAAAGTTGTTTATTCTTAATGTCTTAAAAACTTTATAACCAATCATCATGAAATTTTGTATACATATAGGATTTGGGTAATAATAGATAAAAACTTTTTCTAATATTGTATTGTAATACTTTATAATATTGTAAAACTGTAAACTTACATTTTTTTATGGAAATGTAGTAGCATATTTTATTTTTATACAATTCTGTCAATATCAAATTTGTTGTAAAAATTACACAGAAGGAAAATGAAAAGGGAAAAACAAAAAATCATGAGGTATTTTCTTCTGGTGAGTATTTTATACAATAAAATAAAAGAAATTACCAAAAAAAAAATTACAATATATATAACATATATAGTTTCCAAGAAAAATTGCCATCAGGCCGGTGGGAAGAAAGGGATTGCTAGTGATGAGGATTGAACAGCCCCATTGCTAGCAATATAACCTTTCAGGTAGACCACCATGCAGTTTCACCTTGAAACTATTGCAGTGAATTCCTCGTGAATTTGTCATGATGGTAACCCATGACCTGCTTTAATTCTCACCTACCATCATTCACTAGAACCCCGCCAGCGTATACTGACAACGCAGTTGGGGCTACTATTCCATTATTACCCATTAAAAAGACGTTATGCCGGCGGTAAGTCACAAAAGTAAAAGTCAAAACCTTGTGTAATATGGACAGAATCATATTAGGACGCCCCAAATAATTATAATAAGGGCAAGATAATAGCTTTACTAACATTGTACTCAATTTAAAAAAATGACACAAAGCTACTTTTTTCTATGTTACAATCAGTAATTACATTTGCTCTAAAGCTTTTAGTGTACTTATAATACAATAAATGCCAAATAATATAATAGGATTTTACAATACACGTGGTTATAATGCAAGCAACCGACGCAATAGTTATTAATACAAATAAATTAGATTTCTAAGTAATGAGATTTAAACAATAATAAATTAAGGTACTCACCGTCCTCGCATTTCAAATCCTCCTCTACCTCTTGCACCAGGAGGTCCACCCCGTCCACCGCCGCGAAAACCACGGTTTGGTCCATCCATGTCAAAATTTTTGTGACACAATTTTCTTAATATATATGAAGACTCAACACGAATACGGAAATTAAAACATTCAAGAATATTCCTTTTATTTATGCCTCTCAATCAAAAGAAAGGAAAAGGCAAAAGATTAATTATACTTTGAAATTGTTAAACGAATGAAAATAACCTTAATCAGGACTTACCAGTATGCAAACAAAATGGCGGCCCTGACCGGTAGGCAGTGTTGCCAGATAAAATAAATCGGATTCCCCAAAAATTAAACACAAATAAGGAAGTAATGGGTCTATGTAATAATAATTATTAAGATTATGTTTCATACAAAAACTGACTTCAATTGTATAAGAACTAGTTATTTTAATTTCAAAACTAAACTACCCAACCGATTTTTATGACATTTCTATGGAACAAATCTGAAATATATATCACATAAAAAAGATTTTTTCAAAGAGGTTTATGACTGATAGAGTTACAAAGTAAAAAATACAACCGAATTGAATTGAGAACCTCTTTTTTTGAAGTTGATTGATAACAATTATAACGTAGTGATTACCTGCTTACAAAAAAATCAGTTATGCAAGTTGAAAACGCCGAGATTTCTTTATATGATACAATAACCCTTATTTTGTACCAAAGTCGTGTGCTTGAATACTTCTGTTCCATTCGTGTTTCAACCGTGAAGCAGTTGTATTTGCACAACTGTGTTTCAGTTTGAAAGATGGGATATGGCATTGAATTTACAGGGTACAAAGGAATTACACCTGAGTCCTCAGGGGTGGCAACGCATGGGGGGTATCATAGGCGAAACAGTATAGTCTGTTACGTTCAAGGTACTACACATGTCTATAGGCGACGGTTACCACTTTCCAACAGGTGGGCCGTCAGCATGTTTGCCATTCTAAGTTGTATAAAATAAAAGGATTTATCACAATGGGCTAATTGGACTGCTTTTTTATTTTCACTTATCATCCCTCACTGATCGCCTCGCCAGCGCATACCATTAGGGCAGGTGGGATTACCATTGTATTTTCATCTATTCAAAAGAATTCCATTCAAGTGCATCCAGTGAGCACGTAGAGATGATAATGGAATAATAATCCCATGCGTATCGATCTCAGGATCCGAGCTGGATTCAGATATACATAGAGTAAACAGATTTATGTATTTATTTAAAGCGGTCGAAAAGGGGAATAATGAGGTCTTGAGTAGTGATGACCGTAGTAGGTACTAATGTAGGAATGCGACAGTATATAATAAAATATGGCATACTAACTAGTTTGGCCATAAATACTGTTACATTAAAACTTTTTTTTAACTTTTTAATTATTTTGAATTTGGAACACGTATATTATTTTAAATACTTTTCGATTTCCTGCTATTATACATATTCTTTCGTGTTCATTATCAAATTACAATATAGAATGGGGTGTTAAAGGAAATAGGATTGCAGTGATCGCCTTGCACAAAGTAGATATGAAGCCGTCGGTTATATTCCAGATACTTCAAAAGCCTGGGATCAGCCGTATATTCGTATATCGCACTATCAATAAATAGAACACTTCCTCTGTCGAAAACCAGAAAAGTTAAATGGCTGTTAAATTCAAAATTCGTCGAAACCCCATTAGGAAGCAAAAAATCTTATCGCGAGATTTGAAGTTTCCTGCTAGGACTCTGTCGCGTATTATAAAATAAAACCCGAAGCTCGGTGCTTATCGCTGATATACAAGACATGGCCTAAATCAATGTTTACAATTAACGAGAGTGGATCGATCAAAACGCCATCTGTCGTGATACACAAGTGAAGATACAGAAATATCCTCTTTACCAATGAAACAATTTTCACAATTGAAGAACATTACAATAAGCAAAATGATAAAGTGTACGCTCACAGTTCTAAAGAAGCTGCGCAAGTGGTCGGAAAGATACGTACCATCACTGACGCAGGATAATGACATCCTGCGTCAGTGATGGTTTGGTGGGGTGAGTTTTATAAAGAAGTCACAAAACTACATTTTTGTGAATTTTCAGTCCATTTTATAACTATATATAGTATCAAAATCCAGTCCTGGATCGTGTTGTGATACCTCTCAGCAATACACTTTTTAAAAATATATAGTGGACTTTCTAGCAGTACTTTGCACTTAAGTCGTCTCAAGGCACTCGTCATAAGGCATGAACTACCCATGCCTGGCTTGAAACCAATGTTCCGGACTTTATAAGAGGTGAAGACTGGCCCTGATCTAGGACCGACCTCAACCCTTTAGACTTCAAAATTATGGTCAGTTTTAGAGGATGTGGCGTCTGTAAATAAAAATTGTACATATTCATCTCATAGCCACTTATCAACATCATTACTTTCTTTTCCATCAAGTGGGTTAATTAAATTGTACATAGATATGTTACCTCTTTCTTTCTTTTGGACTGGTCGTACAGGCATGACAGCAACGTTTACTTTTTACATTCATTTCTATTGTCATTCTCTCCATCGATCTCGAGCGCTGGCCTCTTACACTCCCAATTTCCGTTTTTATATATTATTTTCTACATAATACTTTGTATATATTATTTACCTTCCAAATATATGTGAATGGACAAAGTTAGTTATACTTATTTTCTTCGAACAACTACAAGGACACGGCCTATTCTAAACAACACGGTGATATTGAGTCCCTTAAAAAATCTTTGTTGTAAGCAGTGACGAAATTTCCCTTGGAAACAGTGCGTAAATTCATAGATTCGTGGCCAGACAGATTAAAGATATGTATAAAAGCCAAAGATGGCCATTTTGAATAGAATATTTTTTTGCTGAGACTTTAATAATTATGTAGGTATAAATTTTAGTAATATTACATTACTTCATAAAATAAATGCATTTTTATTTGTAATAGAATTTATGGCAGGACTAGGTATATGGGGAAGCTTATGTTATTCAGTGAACAACGAAAGCTAAATCTATAAATAAAACTATTAAGGTACTTGTTTGTTATAAAATAAATTTATTTATATAACTATGCCGTGGCCTCGGGTAATGAAGTAATAATGTCTGAATCACCGGGATCGGTAATTGCGAGTGTACATACTCGATAATACTTTCCACAGGCTGTGCCAAGCTCAATGTTGTTTCCGCTATAGTGATGGACTCCAGTCTTTGCCAATAGAGCATAATATTCAATTTCCGATTTCCTGAAATATTTTTACAACTCATATGTACTTTAAATTTAAATCTTAATATTTGTTTATCAATGGGAGACCATCACACTTGGCCCTAATATAGTGATAATATTAAATTTGTTACACAAGTATTTTACATAAATAGAAACTATTTTTTCTATTTATTTCAAAAGAACCAAAATAAATTTTTGTCAGTTAAACATGTATGCTAAACATGATGGCAGCATAAAAAAATATTTGTGACTAAACAATGTCTATTGAATCCAGAACATTGTTTAGTTATTTAATTAAAATTTTTAAATATGATTTTTGTTTTATTAGTTTTAGTGTTGACTATGCTCAAGCATTATATTTTTAGAGCTCAAAAACCTTAGTGCATAAAACTTAAGTAAAAATCAATACAATAGACAAATATTTGTATCTGAGATACTATACTCTTTTACAGAAGTAAGTAACTAACCAAACCTTCGGATCTTATTGCATTAAATATTTACTTACTTGATCAAAGTTCAGCATATGGATTAAGGACTACTCCATAGGTTTCCCATAAATATGATTCAGCAATATGGTTTAGATTCTGACTAAATGTGAGGAGTCTTTCAATATTTTTCAGTTTTGACAACTATGTTTTGCTCTTATGTTGGTCTGTACTTTGTCCTATTCTGAAGTATTTTTGTTTTGTACATGGCAATATTTTTTTTATATGAAAATTAAAAGTTAATAATAAAGAAATTATAGTGATATGAAAAATTGTAATTTAATATTTTCATAATATTAACACATTGACAAGTGTATTTTATGTTAAGATTACTTATAAGAATTTAATTATAGAGAATTACTAGCCTTTTGTTCACTACTTTGTATGTATAGATTTCAGGAGCAGAAAAACCAGTTAAACCACTTCTGGATAGGATATCATGATAAAATATACACCAATTTTTAAGTCATATTTTCAAGAACTCGACTGTGAAAACCAAATCCAATTTGATGCAGTAGTTTTTGCATGGTGCCAGAATAAAGATACAGATAAAATTTCTAATTGTTTTGGTTTCTATTGCTCTTAAATATCTCCTATATACAAACATTGTCTAAAAATCAAACTAAACAGATATCTCTCTATTAATAATCAATCACCAATTGCTGAATCATGAAGAGGGAATCCATACTTCTTTGTCCTAAGACTCCATATGCATCCCTTTGTCAAAATATTAATTGGGAAACACTACTTCTCAGTAGTCTCACCTTAATGGAGGTGCATTCTTGGCAATGATGACCAACTTTGCTTTACCCTGACGCAGTGTTTTCAAAGTCTGTTTGTAACCAAGGCAATATTTGCCAGATTTCATAACCAATGCCAAGCGCGAGTTGATAGACTCAATAGTCTTTTTCTGTAATAAAATATTATGCAAATAATCAGTTATACAATTAATTTTAATATAATTATTAAGTATATTAGAAATTTTACAGGATGATTGAAAATAATTTTTAGTAAATAAATCTAGAACGAAATATGTAACAATAAATTAATATATATAGAAAGAAAATTCTCAATGCATACATTTCTAAAATGGGAATGTAAGATTATAGGAATCTATGGCAAAAAGTGTGACAAACTGAATTAACAAATCTATGTAACATTTGTCAAATCTATTTGTCAGGGACAGATAATCACTATTCCCGATCTCTAATCCCAATGCTGACAGTCATCCAGGTGTACAGACCTTACCCTTATCTAATTTTTAGATGAAATAAGAGCTTGATTATACAAGAATATGTGGCATGGCATCAATCAGAGATGATAAGTGAGCATGTAAGCAGGTCAGTTAGCCCATTATGATGACTTAAAAAACCAATCATGATGGTTTCCAGGTGAAATCACATGCAGGTTGATGACAATTTAAATAATTCTTAAAATTTTAGGTATGTTCATAGAGTATTCACTGACCATAGCATTTCATAACCTCCACGTTTTTTAAATGTATAAAAATGAAATGGTAATTATGTCTTTGTTATTGGTGTATGCTGGTGTTATTGATATAACTTGCTTGTTAGAAAGGAATTGTTAGTAATGGTAAAGTATTGTTAGTAGTAGTAAGAGCCCCATTGCTTGCAATATACCCAACCAGATCGACCATCACATGGTCCCCTATGGAAGCTATCGTGCTGAATCTCAGGTACATTCATACAATTGACTATATAACCTACTTTTTCATTCTCACCTATTATCTCTCAGTGGGGCCCCGCTAGCGTGGGCAAGTTCCCCTTCTATTGTCATTCATTAGAAAAAAATTGCTTGTTAGAATCTTTCTCAACCCCGCAATTAATCAAATAAATTACGAGTCTATCAAGAAACAAATAATATTGGACTTACTTTATGGAGGTTACTTATAATCAAAAACAAATAACCATGCCAAAAGTCCATAAGAAAATGAGCACGTGTTCACGTTAAACTTACCTGCTTCTTAGCCGCAACCATTGTGTATGTTTATAGTACAGCTCACAATGTATGCTAAAAGAAAAAATATTAAATTAATAAATGTAATAAAATCTTTTATTTATTAATAAATTTGTAAAATTATAAAATTTAAGGTATACCCGTAGAAACGCTACCGCACCAAAAACCAAAGACGGAAGTAAAAGGAAGAGACTAAAAAAAATTACAATATCTGTACTGTCTGTCAGTTGTCTGTCAGTCTATTCAGTCAAAATTTTTTATTATCGCCAGTACGTAAACAGCGCATCAGATACCTAAGAACAAGGAATTACATAAAAGCAGTGATAAAATTGTCAATTCATAGCAGGCTAATGTATAGAAATTGTTATACGACCGTATAACCCTACCAATTTCAAATACAACCTGCTTGCATACTTTCTACATAAATTGTTTAATAATTTATATATTATTTTAATAATATATTATTTTAATAATTTAACAATCTGGCTGATTATATATAACCGTTAGCTAAATAGCCAGCTATTTGGCTAATTTGCTATTGTATAAATGACTCATTACAATTGATCCAATTAAAAACAAATAATTCAATAAAAAAAAAATCGCATCATCTAACTTATTGCCGCGTTGAGGATCGAACATGATGTAATGCAGCTAGGCAGTTACTCAACTAAATTCTTAACGCTATGCATTACGCTTAGTTTAAAATTAAGCACGATGTAATACATCCAGACCGTTATTAAAGTAATAAGTTATCGGCTAGCATACGCTATCGTTTCGAACATTTACTGGCAGTTATGAAGGCTTACGCAGTTATATAGCCGATAATTACAACAGCTATCATTGCTGACGGGTGAACGTACTTACATACCAGTTAGCGGTTAGTCGTAGATGCTTTATAATGTGTTGGCCGCACGAGACTAAGCGAATTGCTGGCTACGTGTACGATAGATAACTTAGTTGCGGCTATTCTTAGCAAAGCTGCGATAGAGGTATATATATGAATATCGGTATGGCTTTTGTTCTTAGGATCATTAGTTTCAGAATGTAGTGATTATATGTTATCTAATAAATTATTTTTCAGAGAGAGACCTTTAAAAAAAGTGCCTATCTACTCTCATACATGAAAGGTATTCGATGACACATATATGTGTTTGTGAAGCTTTGCTTGCATCGTGAGGCAGGTACTAGAATATTCTGGGGTAGATACACCCACATGAACCCCGTCTCTCGAGGAGAGAATAGATTGTTAGTAATAGGGATTTGTAGCCCCACTGCTAGCAATATACTATATCAGATCGATTATTATATGGTTCTTCCTTTTATCCAATCAACCACGATGGTTTTCTTGTGGAAACCATCGTGATTGATTTATATACCGATAGCGCAGGTGGGGTTACCATTCCATTATCATCCATCAAAATAAAAACCCATCAGATCGACTTTCGCGCGGGCCCCCCTGTAAACCATTGTGGTTAATTCCTGGTGAATTAATCACGATGGGTTGATCTTCCTTAATCTCATCTATTATCCCTCACTGGTGATCTGCCAGTATATATCGTTAGCGCAGGCAAGATTACCATTCCATTATCATCCATTAAAAAAAAAAAGCATCTATGTGACATATTCTGTAGACATAGTCCACAGATGAGAGAGAGACTATGACAGTCTCATAGCTATGAATAAATTCCTAGATTCTATTTTACATATTTTTGAGATATGGTTATTTGTTCAAAAGTTCTAAATAAATTTGTTTAATTAGATTTTAACTACATGTCGGTCTTTACTTATTGACATATTATGTGTATGTGCAAATAATCAACATATTTATAAATGGTCGAGCAAACGGGCATGTCGTTTAAAATTCTCACAAGATTCTGTTTCTTAATAAATTTAATCATATTTAAAAGGCAAATGATTACAAGTGCGACTTAACTGCCACTGGCCAATAAAATGAATATTTCATCACCATCTCACATCTATCCAACATTTACAAAACCTGAAATAGTAGGATATATGAGTGTAGATGTCTCAAGACAATATCATTCAGATTTATCTCAATTGAAGTATCTTACAGTAATACCAAATGGAAGAATAGCTTTAGATTTAAACTACGGCATAGAGAAAGCTGTTAAAAGGACCACTGATAATAATAATGAACAGATTGTGTTGTTGCTCAAATTCCTTCTTGATAAAAGACCTGCACTACCTACTAACTCATTTGAACCTATGTTTATTACATATAGACGAACATTAATTAGTGTAATGTGCAGTGCTTTTTGTAATAAAGACTGTCTACACATTGCAGCAACTTTGTATAATAATAATGTTTATTTATGTTCTCTTGAAACACCACAAGATGTACAAAAGAGGCTGTCCCGAAGCTTACAGGAAATTAAATTTTGTGCTTGGGGATATAAATTTGAACAATTCATGTTATCAGGTTGTAATTTTATTTATTTTAACAGTAAAGTTTTCAAGTGTGTATGGATGAAAAAGCAAAAATTCTGGGAGGACTCTTGGAATTTTTGATAAAAAGTAAAACGTGTTACTGCTAATTAAAAAAGTTTATATACCTTATCAGGTCGACCTTGATGTGGTTTCTCATGGAAACTATCATGGTTAATTATTATCGAATTTGTCACAATAGCTTATCTGACCTGCTTCCATTCTCACTTATCACCCTTCACAGGTGTCCCGCTAGCATATTTTTAAAATAAAAATATGTCATAACTGGATACCATGGTCTTAGCAGCCACAGAGGGAAAGGGACAATCCCTTATACCCAATAATATATAAAATATAATCCAAATAATAGGGTCTAACAGCTCCATTGTTAGCAATATACCCTATATGAACTTTCATCCAATTCTCCCTGGAAACCATCCTGGTTAAATAATTTTATGAAGTATTTTATTAATTAATAAATCAATAAAATAATTCATAAAATAATAATGATGGGCCAATTGGTGTGGTTTTATCCTCACTTTTTATTTTTAATTGGTGCAGTGGATTCCAATAATGCAAGTGGGGTTTAATTCTATTTTTACCCATTACAAAAGAAAAGCCCACTGGAGGTACTTGCATATAGTGCTGTCTTGACAATGTAATTTATTAGGTATTGTATGTGTATTTAATAATATTTACCGATTTAAAAAAAGGCGGCTTTTATTTCCACTACAGTACTATTTTTGTATATATAAAATCATCAAAATTGATGTAGCTACTAAAATTAACTTATCAAATTCTCTTGAAGCAGTTTAAATTTTTATTAAAATTCTACTACCTACTTGAAATATTCAGCATGTACTTGCCTATATCTATTTAAATGGGTAATGCATACCTACTTTAGGTTGGTAGTGGTAACCTTCGCCTTATAGATATGTATGCCGCCATAGAATCACAAAATACATTGATCCCTATGATACACCTCAGGCCTTGCCATTGCGGAGAAAAAATATTTATCAACTTCCAGTTTATCTTCTTATTATTGATATCTGTCGGTCACTATTTTAACAATATAACTAAATAAACATTAATAAAATTTATTTCAGATCTTCCAAATCTTAAACCTGATATTGATAAACCTGTCATAGAAAACGAAGAGTTTTCAATATTCTATCGAGCCATGTTTGGTAAACATAATTTATTATATGGTGCACAGATTGACGGATTGTTGGCAACAACTGAAAATGTATCAGGCCCACCCAAAATGGCTAATAATGAAGAAAATATAAATTACTTAAAAAATAACGAGTTTATTGAATTGAAGACCAATAGAGAAATATGTAATAGAAGACAAGAACAAAATTTTAAGTCAGTATATTTTTACAAAATATTTTGTTATTTCATAGACTCTACTTTTTTAAACAAAATTAAAACTTCTTACAGAAAGTATAAACTATTGAGATGTTGGTGTCAGTGTTATTTGGCTGGATTAAAAGGACTTCTTGTAGGATTCAGAAACGACGATGGCATTATACAGAGAACACAATGGTTTGACACAGAAGAATTAGTCACATATTGTAAAGTAAATGTTAACATACCTATCTATAACCTAAAAATATTAACTATACTAGTAGCCTATATATATCTATATCATTTACAAATAGAAGCCATTCCCTGATCCCTCTTTTTTTAAAGTAGGTAGTTTTAATTACGTTACGAAAGACCAGAGGGAAATGGAACTAGCTAACGGTCTTTGCACTAACAATACTCGCTTCTACTTCTCTCCAGGAAAAACAATCAGTAAAGAATTCTTGGTGATTTCTGCACTCACGATGGGCCGACTCGCCTGATCTCACCTCCAAAAGTCTTGTTTCACTGCATGCACTCAGTGTAATAAAGGCTATTGTTTCCTTTTAGATGCTTCAGGTGATGAACACTCATGTTCATGAAGTCATGTACTCATACTTATATATTTCATTACAAAAGTGGTTCGTCAAACATAGCATTTAGTTATCATATACAAGTGATCATTTTCTACTGACTTCAAAAAAAGAGGAGAAACAATTCGGTTCCATTTTTTGTTAACTCATAACTCCGTTAGATATAAACCGTTTTAAAAAGATATTTTATATCTGAATCAATTTCAGCAAAATCGATTCAGTAGTTTAGTTTCAGTTCAGTAGCTTTATTCTATAAAGGCAGTCGGTTTTTTTATGGAATACAATTTTAAATTATTGTAACAAACTCTATCCACAGTCGAATTTAAATCATCCATCTAAAAGAAACTTTATTTTTGTATTTAATGAAAGTCAGTTAATTATATATAATTAACAATTATTATTTTTTATTTAAAACGATGATGTAAATGCCGTACTCTTTTTAAAAGCACTACCTACTTTTTTATGTTTTTTAAACAATTTAAAAAAATAACAATTTAAGCTTTTCGTGATGAAGCGTGTATATAATAAGCAGCGATTTATTATAATTTGCGTATATGACGAGCGGCGGGTGTCAGGTTGCTTGGATGACATGGGGGAGAGTTATACTTAATTTTTACTCATAAAAACTATAAAATTTAATGCATTTTTTTCAGGGCGAGTGGTCTCCTCAAACTGCGTTGAGTTTCTTGGATTACTTTTTAAGTTTTGTAAACAATTGTTTTCATAGTCAAACTAATAATCATGGACCAGTATCGCTGCAACTTGAAGTTAATGGCAGTGATATAAAAGTCACTAAAAAATTTAATGGTACTGATATCCTACCTGATTGGTATTTACAATAGTAAAAGATAGGTAGGAGTAACTAATTTGTGTGTAAGTAGATACTTATATGTACTATTACACGATTGTAATTTACAATGTCATTAAAGTATTTATTAATTTAAATTGGAATTTTTCTCTCCACTGTTGTCATAATAATCCGGAAACTGTTAAATAAATTTACTAGTAGATGTTTTTCATTTATACTCTGTAAGTTGTAGCATGGTGCTGACATTTTACTATGCCACTATATCTGAGTGTGATTTTTAAAGTAGAAATCAATCAAAAAATAATTACTGACACTATCTTACATTCCAATGTCCTGACGAAAGCGTTTGTATTTTTATGGTTTTACATATAATGCGCAGAGTATACACAATATAGTGATTGGTGATAGAATCAAAGTCTAAAATTTCTAGGGGCATCGCATTAACTTAAAAAATACTTTGGGGAGAAAGGATGAGGTCGTTAACTGTTCGCCATTCAAACTGCAAATGGTTACCCCTAGGCTCCGAGCAGCGATATAATAATTTAAAATACGTGTCGCAAACGGTGTGTAAAAAAATGGCAGTTGGAGATTGATGGCTAATATAAAAGGTTGTGGAACTTCTGGTAGCAATATAGTGGCACTTAATCTTCGAGCGTTGGTAGTCACACACATACTAATAGCGAAATGTGTGTTCAAATAACTAGTGATATGGACTTCTGCGAGATAATACCTAATTCGGGGGGGGAAAGGGATTGTTAGTAATGAAGACTGAGAATCCCACTGCTAGCGATATACCCAACCAGGTCGACCTCCTCGCGGTTCTCCTTGGAAACTATCATGGTTAATTCCTGATGAATTCATCATAATGGGCTAACTGGCCTGTTTTCGTTCTCATCTATCACCCTTCACTGGTGCTCCGCCAGCATATCCCGTTAGCGCAGGTGGGGCTACCATATCATTTTCACTCATTAAAAAAAAATACGTAATTCAGTAATTTTTTAATGATATGATAGGCAATGGTAACCTTGCCTGTGCTAGCGGTATATACTGGCAGGGCACCAGTGAGCAATAATAGATGAGATTTACTTTAATCAAGTCATCGTGATCAATTCACCAGGAATTAACCACAATAGTTTTCAGAGTGGCCCGCGTGGAAATCGACCTGATGTCGTGTGGTTATATTGCTGGGAATGGGGCTAAGAGTGATACGGCCAATAAAATCAAGTCGGACATACTCTGAATTATTTAACTTCTACGGACTATTTAAAAGGCAGATGCTTTTTATATGTCCATCCCTCTCTAACGCATTGACAATATCATAAATACAACGAGCAAGCACTATATGGATTATGCACAAAATTTTTCCCTCCTCTCAGATTGTTTTATGTAAGACAGATTTACCTCTATGTTGTTGTAATATATAAACTCCTTGCAACTTAAAAAAAGATATAATATGACAAACTAATGAATGATTCTATATACGTATTTTACTAAATGTCATCCAAGTGATTATTATCAAATTATACAATCATGTCTTCGGAAATATTTATTATATAATAAACTCAAAAAAATAATATAAGCATGTTGGCATCATAATTGTAGCAAAGAAACAAAATGCAAGTATGGGGCAGGTAGATGAATCACGGTCCACATCAAAAATGGCAAAGAGCTCTTCGGGAGTTAAGAAAGCGTCTTCCGGAGGAACAAAGAAAACGAAAGGCGGCAATGCTTTGAATATTGCTGACCCTAAAGTGCAAGGTATTTTACTTGTGGGTCTGTTGGCAGTTTTAGTTCTAGCACTTTGGTTGGGTTTCACGCGTGGCTGTTTGGGACGGAGACGTCGAAGACATTCTTATTGCTGATTAGAGAAACATATTTATGTTCTGATTTTAATTTATCTTCAAATATTATCAGTTATATGTTAACTTTATAATAAAATACAAATAAATTTACACTGAATACATTTATTTATTTATTTCAAAGTGAAATTAATGACACAAATAATAATTATTAATTATTCATAAATATAGAAGTAGAGAAAATCCATATATAATAGATGACATCCTGAAATGAAAATAATTAATTTTAAAATAGAGCATAATAAATACATACCACAATAAATCAACCAGTAATACAAGTAAATTAATCCAAACGTCTATCTCCAATTATTTAACAGTTTGTTACGTATTTTTGGGAATAAAGACATGATTCAATTAACCTTTGCACAATTACATTGTTACATTAAAACTTTAAAGTTCAACTCTTTCCTCATAAGTAATGAAAGATCGTATAAAGGTAAATATCTTTGACCTATAATTTAACAAATTTCTATATTCATAGACACAGACAAAAAGTCCACATAATGCACCCTTGTGTAACGAAAAGACTATTATGTAAAAGGAAATTACCTTATTTTTTAAAGTTTATTTTACCACACCTTGACATTATACACATAGCATCACACCAGAACAATGAAAAAATACACGACTATCTTGGAAACAATATACATTATACAAAAACAATATAAATTATCCATTACCCTAAGGTTGTTTTGAAAATATTGCTTTCAGCAATAAGACCGCCTTAATGCACATTTACAACTGTATCGGTACATTTATTATCTTGCTTATTCCCTATATTGTATAATGCAATTAAAGTATACTCATCCATGCATTAATTAGTTTGAAAATACTTTTAATGTTACGATGTCTATTATTTTATTGTCTAACACGTGACATATCTCTACTGGCTTCGTAACGTTATAAGTAGATTGAAAATTTCACAAACCTCTAATTAGTAGTAGTTTCAGTAGCTGGCTCATCCCAGGTTCCACTACCATTACCCCAATCATAGTTATCCTGCTGGTTTTCTGCAGATTCCTCTTGCTCTGCATCTGTAAAAAATATTATTAGTATTCTTATATTTTTTCACTTATAAATAGACTTATTCAATAAGATTTATGTATAAAATTTTTACGTTCTTTATAAATAGAAGACTTCGAAACAAAAAGGGAAGTTGCTACTGTGTGGACTTAAGATTAGCTTTCTTTTTCTAGAATGGATGCTTTTATAATTTACCATTTTCTAATTTCAATTTTCTGCTATGATATCGTGGACTTATATATATATATACATGTCGATAGTTGATGTGCATAAGAATTTAAAAGCATCACCACACGGTTACTTTGCTCTCCTATAATGCTGTTATGGTAAAATCGTACTTTATACTATAAATTATAAAAGCGTTTAATAGGTGTCATTAATGTGTATCATCATATATCGCATAATTATATCATTATGTTATATAATATATTAATAATGTAGCAAACTCAATATTGGGAATGCTAAATAAGAACATTATGTAGATACCTTCTTCATTTGTAGCAGATGCTTTGTTTGCTTCTCCTTGAGGAAAGCCTTCACCTATAAAATAATAAATAAATTTAATCAGAATTTAAGTTACTAAGAATTGAATTTCGTTAATTATAATAAATGGATGTAAGCCATATTTGAGCAGTTTCAGTACTCCTTCAAAATTTTGGTTAAGCTAAAAAAGGCAAGGGCAGTAGAGAACAATACTAGAGATAGTTTTACTAGTATATTATACAATATCGAACTAGTTAGATTACTTGCCCCACTGCTAGGGTGTATTGTAAGCAATGAGGCTCCTAGCTAGGTCGATCACTACGCCACCCTACTTGAGAACAATCACGATTAATTTCTTGTGATTTGTCACACTGCATCAATATCCTTCATAGTACCGCGTCAGACTAAACAAATAGTGTAGGCAGAGTTACCCTTCATTTGCATCTCATAAAAAAACAATTTATATTGACAACATATTTTTATTCTTACTTTGATAGTAATTTATTAAGTACGTTAGTCAACTGTAAGAAAAGCATTCTTAATACAGCAGGTACTATCTTTAATCTATGCCTGATAAGAATTTAATATAAAGTAATTCACCTCCCAAAGACGTCTCTGTTGTCTCTCCTTTCATCATTTTCAAAATATGCTGTTTTTCCTTAGTAAGGTGTCTTTTGCCATTCAAATGCATAGTCATCTGCTCTGTGCACGTAACAGAAGTCTGAAAAGACAAAATAGTTTTTAAAATAACATATAAGAAATATTATATGTTGTAAAAATATACTGCTTATAGGTAGATGTACATACTGTGCCATATAGACCTCGTAAAAGCTTATAAAAACCGACTGTTACCTCTGCTACTTAAAAGCAAACAGAATTTAAAAAGCTAAGAAGTTAGTAATGTAAATTGAACATAATATGTATAGTGATTAAAATCAGAACAGGAAAGAACGGTTATCTGGATAAGACAATTGAGGAAAATTACAAATAATATATCAAGTCATTGTCATACAAATAAGAGATGTGCTGAAAAAGGTAAATAAGAGATGTGCTGAAAAAGTAGAAACAAGTATTTGAAACTAGTTAACTTGTTTCAATATAAAGAAAATGAAATAGGTAGGAGTCCTACTTATATTTTTTTACATTTTATATACTTGTAAAATGTAAAAAAATATATAAGTGGACTCCATTGTAGCCTCTTGCAGGACTGTCATGTGTATAAAGTCTATGACGAGCATATGATTAACTCGGCTACTTCCAACTAGAAGCGCGAAACATTTCTGGAATCTTCACAGGTTTTGTAGAGATTTCACTGTCATCTGAGAAGTATTTCGTATTTAAAACAGAGAACATGCTTACTCGAATGTGAGATAGATATATTTATATCTGGCTCATATTAGAGTTATAACTAGTTTACCTTTACGTGTAACTTACCTTACATATATCGCAGAATAGGTCGGGCTGAATAGCCTTCGCTTCTTGCAGAACCTGTTGCTGGTGTGCTTCACATTCTTCAGGTTTAATAAACTTTTTCTCACGCCGAATCAGAGTTTCCCTGTTTCATATAATTTTATTGATGATTATCCCCTTTATTTATACAAACTAAAACCGTCTTCAAACCTATTTTAACTACTACATTGTTTTGTCACTTTCTTTAAAATTAGGAATTTAGGATCAATAAAAGAGACTAAATTAAACATTTTATGAATTTATAGTATTATATAACTCTAAATTACGGGTAATGTGAAAGAACTTACAATCGGCCTTCCATTCCTTTTTGAAGCAAAAATGGGTTTCTTGGTAATTTCCGTCCATCAACGATACTGTAAAAAAATTTTTCTTATTAATATTCATAAATAAATAATAAATTGTAAAAGTCTGGTCTTACAGTCATGAATACTTAATTTTATTACAGTCATTTTTTATTTATACCAATCTGTAAGTGATCATTACAACTTATGGCCACTAGCAACACCAGAGGACTCGGCGATGCGTTACTGGACTTTTATAATATATTTTTTAATAATCTTTAACAACATATAAAAATGTTAAACTGTTAAATACAAAAAATCTCTCAGTTTGTAAATATGTTTCAAAACATTATTCTTTAACATACTTCTTTCGACAGTCATTTTGAATTATAAAAGAAAATATTTTTTTTCAAATGAACATGGCATATAGCTGAGTGACACCATTTTAGTGCTTATTTTTTTATCATTATATTTTGTTTATTGTTAAATGTTTTTTTTATTATTATGTGTTTTTAAAGTGAAATTAAGCACTAAATAAATGTTTTTTTCTTTATTTCTAAAATACATAATTTGCAAGGTGCATTTAGTACAATGAACAGTTATAAAAAACTGAAGTCATAATTCATTTAACAGTTTTCTTCAGGAACATGGGTGAATTATGAACTAGAATTCTAAATTAATTACGTGAATACGTGACTACGCTATGGTTTATATAAAAGAGCACTTTTTTCCATTCTTAGAAAAAGTTATTCAGTGATTGGCTAGTTGTTAGACAGTTATGTTTTTTTCTGTTGAAACTTCAATAATTTTATCACAAAAGTTGTCAAAACGAGAGCGGCGCCGATGTCAAAAGCGTTCGTAAGTTGTGATGAACGCTTAGTGTCATGTGGATTGAATGTTTGATGTACTTAGTCTCTGATACACATTAACTGTACTACTAGTATAAGTTCACAGAATTGGTCTAACGACTTACGCGCGATGTGGCTTCCCAGCATAATGCGAATCGGCATGACTTTTAGATGTGATGTGAACATCACAAATTTCGCAGTAAAGATCACGAGACTTCAGCGGTACCTAAAAGCATATATGTAAAAATTTACTGTACATACATTTAAATTTAATATTTTTTATAATTACTAACATCTCATCAACTAACATATCAACATTAATAACATCTCTAAACTATAATTGAATTACTTTATTTTTGATTAAATCTAAATACTATATATATAATAAAAAATCAAGAAAATAGATATTATAATAAAAACATTCTAAGGTTACCTTGCGTCACATATCACTAGTGTGTCATTTATAGAGAATTAAAACCAATATTCATGTCCAGAAGTGGATCGTTGGTATAGCAAAAGAGGTATAAAAATAGAATAAATGTTATAGAAATGAGAGCTTGGAGATGTTATACAGTTTGATACACTTAGAGTTGTATTAATTCGTCCGACCCTAATGGAAAATAGGCATGACGTGTATGTATGAATGTGAACAAGTGCGTGTATTATAATTGTTTCTTTTTTATGATATTATATATAAAATGCAAGTGTTTTATATAAAATAATAATAATTAGAACATCCTTTATTTTTAACAGTCCATATTATTTTTAATATAAAAACAATAAAAGAGTACAAAGAGAGATCCGTTAAATGCAATTGATTGGCGTCGTCTTCTTCAGGAGCGTCATCTTATCATTCGCAACTACGTGACAAATTGTTTTGTTACATGGTTATGAGTGACAGTGATGACGTTCGATTTAAAGTCCGACGTTAAATAATTTAATTTACTGTTAGGTATTGTACTAAATAATCCTTGATATTTACATTGAATTCCCGTCAAGCGAAAGTACAATTACCTATTGTAAATTTACAATGTACGATTTTAATATATTTCATACGCCAATATATGCTAAACTCGAGTAAAATCCGTATATTTCATTGTTTTTCACACGTGTAAATCGAAGTTTCAAAAACATGTGTAGGAAATGTCATGTTTAAGGATTCGTATATCAAACACTAAATTTATTGCTCGTTACAGTGTGAATGTGACAAGCAGTAAATTTTTAAAGAGCTTTAAAGTTAATAATTTGATAAATAGATATACCGATTAATAAATAAGTAAACAAACAGAACTGCTGTAAAAATAATTTTAGACTTCACGTCTCAGTCAACGCAAAGCCCGACAATTTGTCACAATGCAAGATTCTATTTTGACAACATGTTCACATAACTTTCACTTGTTTTCTGTTGTCAACAATCCATTAGTAAAGCTTACTTTATTTTTGTTACAAGAATAAAGCTAATACTTTACTATGATGTGGACAGCGTCACAAGTGATATTTTGCAACATATTTATGTGAACTATGACAGTTGTCAAAACACCTATGGAAACATTACATTGTCAAATTGTCTATTTACCTCTCTATGGTGATAAACATCAGGATGTTCTTTTAGCCATTTTTTCTGATTCCTCAGATGATTTTTGGATATATAATGCATCCGGGCTGCAAACAAATTCAAGCAGTCACACTATTAGATGAAATTAGTGAATATTAGATTTGTACAATTAAGTCTTGTTTAAACACTTACCGACAGCTACCGTTTCCAATTTTATGGTACATATACCACAAAATTCAGGCTCCATCAGATACAAAATTTCTTTTGGCGTATTTTTTAAAACATCTTTTGGTACGCCCATACCTATAAATACAACATATGTAATTAATAATTTAAAATCTACAATTCTTTGTATATACTTAATTTATTTATATTCTTTATTTTCATGTCTGTAGGTGACGATTATCACTTTCCATCGAGCCAACAACTATTTTGGCATTCTGTTGCTAAAAAAATTTGAAGAAAAGAATCTCGCCTTTATATTTCGGTTTTAAAAAATTACAGATGTTTTAAAATATCGAGAGCGAATAGAATATTACGAAAGACAGAATTATAAAATATGTTATGCATTATTAATAATATTATAAGTATATTACGTATAAGAAATCTCATGGCTTTGTCTTCCATATTAACTTTACGTATTGGGGGTCCTCTAGGCCCAAAACCTCTTCCCCACATAAACGGTGGATTTGGTCTCATCCCTGGGCCTGGCCCAAAATCAGGAGAGCCAAATAAAGGTGGAGGTCCATAGCCTCCATCTGGACCATATCCACCTCTATAATTCCCATAGGCATTTCTATAATGGCGGTTTCTGAAATGTAAAATAACAGTATATATATGCTGGCCTCAGTATATAAAGCATCCTATGTGTTAAGTAATAATTTAAATCTATCCGTGTTCCAAATTGTATTTAAATCCATTCAGCCATTTAAAGTATTTTTACAAATTTTCACATTTACAGTAGGATAAATAATTTCACGACTCAAAAACTTCAACTTGTATATATTTGTCATAAGATCTAAATATGTTTTGACTAAACTATAAGTTTCATATACATGGGAGGCGATTCTAAACCTTCATTAGCTAACTCTGATATAAAATTTCAATTTGCACAGTACAATTCTTATTGTAAGGACTAGTAAGATTATTACAAATTTTCAGAACTGCATTTACATTTAATTCTTGACGGTCCATACTATAACAATTTTGCTAAACTATTAAATTAAAAATGAAATTTTAGACAAATTTCGAGAATAGTATCTCAGATTTGATTTATTGTCTATTTGCATACTGTATGTCTCTGTTTTGTTATAAAACCTGACAATTACTGACCTCCTTCACTGTTTGGTTGTAACTTCTTGATAAAACTTTTTACATTATTATTATTATTGTGATTGATCACATAATCTTATTTAAAACTAGCTGTATCCCGCGGATCTGCCCGCGTGAATGGGTACATAAAAGTATGTTGTCCTAAATTAGGATATAACCTATCCTTGTACCAAATTTAATTTAAATCAGTTCAGTAGATTTTGTGTGAAAGAATAATAAACATCTATCCATTCATCATTACAAACATTCGTATAATAATATTAATTTAAAATACTTGTAGGCTGAGAATCATTATGATATCAGTTACATGTATAAATAATAATAAAAAAGAATAAAAATATCGTAAACGATTATAGCAGTTCTGTTAGGATGGACCTCGGAATAAACAAGTGTGCGATCCTCCATGTGCAGAGGGGGCGGGTCACTAAATCTGAAGAGATCGTCACAGATCCCTTCAATATCAAAACCCTTTCAGAGTCTGAAATATACGGGTATTTGGGCATGTCAGAAAATATCGGTGTGAGGAGGTGGATGTGAAACAGTCTGTCTGAGAGGAAGTATTTGCAAGAATAGTGAAAAGTTCCTTGTCAGGCGCGAATAAATTCCGAGCTTATAACGGCTGGGTGGTCTTAAACCGATCTTGAAGCCTTGGATTGGAAAGTCTGCATAACTCTGACTCTCCATAGAATGCATCACCCGAAGTCGTCAGTTATAAGGCTGTATATCTCGTAGATGGCTGGTGGTCGAGGATTAGTAAGATTATGCACAACCGCTAGATTGACAGCCTCAGCACATATTTTCTAGAGAAAAGAAACGCGGATATGCATAGGGAGGTCATAGAATGTGACAAAGGATTTAGCCCTTTCTCTGACTAAAAAGGACTGACAAAAAGCTAAAGTCCAGGGTACCTCTTAACAAGAGGACGTATGGAAAGAGGAGTTGCATGGAAGGTTCTTCAATGCCTTTTACGGACCGTACGTTAACATAAAGAACTCCGAGCACTGGTTACAATTCGGTGATCTCTTTGGAGAGACTAAGTCCCCACCCATCACGATGTACCGACCCTTCGTCGTCCCTCGACGGGGGTCGAAGTGCGGTGGCCTAAGCCGAGGTCCGAGCCACTTGGCGCCCATGGGCGCACGCCGCAGTCCATCAGAATGAGATAAAGCCTATCGTCGCTTCTCTCTCGCGAGCTGTAAAGCTGTAAGGTAAGGACATCTGCGGCCAACAGGATACACAGAAAAAAATTCCGAAAAAGATGCAGAAAGTGGTGCTCTTACTAGATACTGCCCGCATAGTACGCCGGTTTCTCTCCCAGCTAGGGCCCAGAACCCCGGCCGACTGAGCTTGTTTTGTTTTTGTTTGCCGAGATTAGTTTGCCATTTCCTCTCTTTAAGAAGGGAGATGTGAATTTTGTTAAAAAAATAAAATAAAAAACTGTAGGACAGAATACAAGTATTTTAAACAATATTACAATTAATTTTAGTGTTCTGTTTATGTCCTATACAAGGTAAAGGGTGATTTTAGACTAGTTCTATGTTCTTGCTGGTTTTATCTATTTATATCTATACTTATAATAAATCTATAGAGAGGTCAATTCTGTACATGAAATATATTTCCAAAACAACTATCAGGGGGTGATTAGTTATCGATACTGATGCCAAAAATGCAATCAATAAAATTTTTGTCTGTTTGTCTGTATGTTCGTTATAGAAACAAAAACTACTTGACGAATTTTAACGAAACTTGGTACAATTATTCTTCATACTCCTGGGCAGGTTATAGTATACTTTTCATCACGATACGATCAATAGGAGCAGAGCAGTGAAGGGAAATGTGTCTGTTACATCAAAACCACTGAACCGTGAGGAAGGACATACGCTACTTATTTTACGAAAAAACGAAGAAAACGCGGACGAAGTCGAGGGCAACAGCTAGTTGTAACTAAATTTAAATTTATTTATTTCATACTTTTAACAATAGTTACATATTTGTCATAATTCCACAAAAAAAAAAAAACTACTTCAGTTATAGTTTATATATTAATATATAAATTTCTATGAGACCAATCTGTAAGTATATCCTTTCAGATAAAAAGAATCTCTCAAATCAGTTTACAACTGACAAGGTTATAAGGTATCAGACATAAAAAAATACAACCAAATTGTGAACCTTTTTCTTTTTGAACCGAGTTAAAAATACAAAGATTTTAAATTTTTACCTGAAATCACCCCTATTAAAACCTGGCCTTGGGCCAAAGTTACCAGGTTGAAAACCATTATCCATCATGTCAGGCTCTTCATCCCAGCCATAGCCATTATCCCCAAAGTATGGGCCATCCATTATACTAAAAAAAAAGATATTAAATTAATATTAATTGCGTTCGTTCAATACCTAGGGTGTAAAACATAATGAACCCAACTTGACTATGGCAAAGTTGAAAAGGAGAATCAATATAATAAATAACTAGTCAAATGATAGTTTGATAGATAGACCCAGCTCTAGTTACAGGTTACTCAATAGTTATTATATCTCATAATGCTTATCATTGTTTTATGTATATGTATGTATATATTTCATATGTATAAGTTTATCCATATATATTAAAAGTAATGTTTATGTATTATATGTGCATTTCTTATCTGTATATTATATTTATATTGTGTGTTGCCTTAATGTGTTACTATAATTGTCACATATTTTTCACCACATCTGCCCTTCATACGCTTTCTGTTTTTACCCAATGGTTAGCTGGTAGAGAATGTCATATGGCATTAAGCTCGCCATTTGTACAAAGTTTTATTGTGCAATAAAAAATAAATAAATAAAAAAGTTTTTTTTAATGGGTGAAAATGAAATGGTTACCCCGCCTGCGTTATCGGTATACTCTGACGGGGTACTAGTGAAGGATGAAAGGTGACGATGAAAGCAGGATGATGAAATGGAATTCGGCATGATAGACCAGTTGGTCTATCATTCATTAATCATGATGGTTCCTAGAGGGAAATGTGACAAGATTGATCTGATAGGGTGCTAGCTATGGGACAGTTAGATCCCATTACTAACAATCCCTTTCCCCTGTCAAATGATAGTTGAACACATGCACTGAGTATTATATATATGTTAATAAGTTTTTGTTTTCTTTCCATATAAACGGATTTGAAATATAGATATAAAAGAAATTTATGGATATACAAAATCTGTCCACGACCATCCAGGCTCTAGGTATGGTGGGTGAACTTCCTGTCAATGGCGAACTGTATGACGGTAGAAAGTGGCCGTGAATACTAAACGATTCCTATGACCATAGTTTGTTGTACATGAGGTAGAACATGCAGAGTGAAAAACAATTTCTTCTAAGAGTTTGATACTCTATCTATAAGCCAGGGATCTTTGATAATTCTCATAGATTGTCTTTGGACTGAGTCAAAGGGTTCAAGTTGGTATCTAGGTGTTTCCACCTATAAGCGACAGCAATACTGCATGTGAGGTCGGATTTGCAATTTATAAAGCACTACACATCTCTTACTATTTTTATTTCACATTAGCTAATGACCAACTGCATCAATTAACATGCTGTAAAAAGTAAACTTTGCGGACATGAAATTTCGATTCTGATTTAGCAACAAATTTTTATAAAAGTAAATAACTTTTAATAAAAAATTTGTAAAGTAAATGTGAAACCTGTATCCAAATTTAATGAGAACTAATTTAATGAAAATATATGAAAACTTTGATAATGTAACTCGGAGTATGAAAGGAAGAAGAGATTGTTTGTAATGCAGACTGCCAGTCCCATATATCTTGTCAGGTCAACCACTACATGGTTTCTCCTGGAAAACATCATAATGAATTCCAGGAGTAATCACAATGGGCTAACTGACCTGCCTTTCATTCTCACTTATTGATGTCCTGCCAGCATATACCATCAGCTCAGGTGGGGGTAACAAATCCATTATCATTCATTAAAAAAACTTGGTTGAAATGTTCAGGTAAATTATCATAGTTTACCTGAATTATCGTATTAATTCCCTCTCTCTCTATATTTTCTATTCCATAAATCTCTTATATCTTTGTACTACTTTTAATAATTATTTGAAATACTATTATTTATTTTTTTTATATTTAGTTACAATATTGTAATATTACGTAGCGAATAATTTTTGGCCAATAATTAAGATTGTTTTAATTTGAATTGTGTAGTGTGTCCTGTTTTTTCCTTGTACCTAAGAATTACCGATAATGAATATTTTTTGGAAAAATGTCTGAAACTGGATCATATATTATATGAATATTATAATATTTATATAGTAGGTAATATAAAATTACATTTTAATGATTATTAAAATGTAATTTTATATTAAATAAGTAAATTAAATGATTCAATTCTCTTCCATTGAATATATTTAGTTTAGCGTCACTTACTGATTCACTTAATTCGTTGAAACTTCTAGAGACGATATTATTAGTTATATGCACTTTCTGATAATGCTCAGGTAAAGACGTTTGGTAAGTATTCCTAAATATACTCTAAATTCAATAAATATAATGGTAATTATCTTAGAAATATTTAATTGATATTAAAGGAATAATTATAAGAGGAAAAAGGATACCAATAGATTAAAGAGAATGTGACTGATATACCGTTGAAAGCTGTGTCAGTCTCCATAGATTACAAACTAAATAGTAACCATCACAGATATGTAATAATGAAGCAGACAAAGCATTAAGTTGAAAATATGAGTACGATATAATATATACGATTATACTGTTATTCATTTAATTTAGGCTGTTTAAAAATTGTACACTGCTGTATCCGCTGACATTGATGCTCCTTTCCACTTTGGGTTTGCTGGAAGAAAACTCTCAGAGTTAAGCTCGCCTTTGTACTTTTGTTTACCTCTGTCATATTTTTATAACTAATGTGTATAATAAAGTATTAAAATATAAATAAATAAAATATTTCTCTTATGCTCGCTCCTACAATAAAATGGATGTTACTATCTTTTTCTGTCATGTGTAATAATACTCCATCGAATCGTAGCGCATACTAATAAGCTGCATGCAAATTCTATTATACACCGAAAATTTAATGATTTTTATGACTACAAGTGTAGAAAAAAAAAAAAACGTAAAAATTGTAGTGCCATACCTATTTGTAAGATAGTGCAATTTATGGAAATATATCAGATTGAACTATTTATCTATATGTAAATATCTTTTTTTATGTCAACCTATCGTGAGTAATAGAAATATTTAAAAAAATACGCGTTACTGGAGTATGTATTTGCAAATATTTATTAAAAAAATTCCATGAAAAAGCATACTATTATATAGAAACTTTAAAACAAAGTGCAAAATTACTGTTTTTCTGATTTACAATTGTATAATGATTTTGACATTTCATGTACATACTTTTGTAAGGGGTGCCACATTTTTTTTAATATGTGATAATGGAATAGTAATCCCGCCTGCGCTATTGATATACACTGGTGGAGCACCTGTGACTTATGATAGACGAGAATGAAGCAGGTCAATTTGCCCATCGTGACGAATTCAAAAAGAATTAGCTTCGATGGTTTTCAGGAGGAACCAGGTGAAGGTCAACCTGATAGGGTATATTGTTAGCAATGGGGTTGTTAAACCCCATTACTAACAATCCTTTTCCTCTCACAGGGGTGCCGCATTTAGGGCTACGAGACTTAATTATATTAAACGAAGACTTTAAAAAAAATATATTATTGTTCAAAATTTGTTAAAGACTTATTTAGCATCTTGAATTTTTTTATTTTTAACTATTTAAATTTATTCCATTAGAAACATTTATTTTGATAGGTAATTTAATTTAATATTTGAATTTGAAACTTTAAATGGTGGATTATTAATAATATATTAACCTAAAAAATAAAGCTATATGCCTAAGAAATATTCATTTTATCTAGAGCTCACAAAGATATAATGACTTTAGCATCTAGGATATCAATATGAAATAAAAAAATTGGAAACCAACCAAAACATAGTATGCTGTGTTTGTAACATTTTGAAAACCGTAACTGCAAACTGTAAAGCAAAGTATATATAAAGGTCTTGTATGAAAATGTACTTACATTTTCTAATTAATAAATATAAAATGGTTATAGATAAAAGAAAATAAACCGAAAACTTCTGTCCGACAATAAATGCAAAAAATAAGAACTGCAGTTGGTAAATATGCAAAATATATAAAATACTGAACCGCAACTATCTACTTCACATTAGAAGTCTCTTAATAAAGATAAGTACAGGTCATTCAAGATTCTTGTAAAATTGAAGACAGACTTATACCAGATGGGGCGTGTGTCAATTTTGTATATAGAATAAAAAAGACTATTATTTTTAAAAACAAAAAAAATTATACGAACTTTTTTAATTTTCTATTTTTGTATCTGTGACAAAAATAGAAGATTAAAAAAGAAAGTTGTTTACTTTCCTTAGGTTACAAATGTTGTATATTGGGTTTACAAAAAAAATGGAAAGATGAGGATATATTAGGTCCTTACATATGAATTTGCGTTTTATCGTACTAATTACTTTGATCTGAAATATGTCCTCTTTGGTTAAGAATTCCAAAAATTCATTTAGCTGGTACATTTGAGTTTTGAAAACAGTCATTAATTTGTTTTTCCTCATAATTTTTTTCTTTGGCGTCGCTTATTACCGTACAATGTAAAACATGAAATATCGTTATATTTATGAGTACGAGTTCTACCGTGGCACCAGTGCTACAGAAACAGCTCGAAAGATTAACGATGTGTACGGTGCTGGTGTCGCAAAAGAAACCACGGTACGTTTTTGGTTTCAACATTTTCGTTCTGGAAATTTCGACCTTCAGAACCAACCCCGTGGACGGCCAGGGACCAAAGTGGAAAATGAATTAAAGGCTATTGTGGAAGCGGATCCCTCACAAAGCATTTAAGAGATAGCTGCAGGCTTCAGGGTAAGTGATAAAACTGTATTAATCTAGCCTATAAACACCTACAATACCAGAGGTAATACGCGCGCGTTGCCGACCCTGAAGAAATTTCTTTACCCCCCTTTTGAAGAACCCCATGCTGTAGGCTCTTGGGAAAACCTCGGCAGGGAGTTCATTTCATGAGTGTGCGTGGGAAGAAATAACTCTGAAACCGCGCTGTACGCGATCATTGAGGCTGTGAGGATACGAGGTTGAACTCCCTGTCGATGGCGAGCCGTACGATGGTAGAAAGTAGCCGTGGGTAGAGATGGGCAATCCACCTGGGTGGGTTTAAAGTCTGGTGGGTAAAAACCGGGTGTTTTGGGTTTATTGGGTTTAAACCCCATAAACACCCAAATTTTTGGGTGTTTATGATTTTGTACTTCATCATCGTCATCTCAGCCGCAAGACGTCCACTATACTGGACATAGACAATATTATTATGCAGCCTACAGAATAAAAAACTTTTAATTTGATTTTGAGTTTATTAAGAAAGAGATGAAAGTAAAATGTAAAACTACAGTCAATCACTGTCAGATTCAGAGTTATTACAAGCGATGAATTGTATAGGTTCGATAGGCTCTATTTCGTCTAAACTGTTATGTTCATTTACTTGCTCAATGAAAGCTTCTAAGGTATTTTCTTCATTAAACTGAATGTCCTCGCATTCAGCTTTATGTTTAAGATTCCAGTTATAACAAATGAATGAAATTTTTTCAGTTCTTTCAGTTGTAAGTCGATTTCTTTTGTTATTATGTATGTAGCCTTGGATACTAAAGGAACGCTCAGTGGCTGCCGAAGTACAGGGAGCTGATAGAATACGAATCGCTACTTTGCTTAACTCAGTGGAACCACAAATACCTTTCCACCATATTAGGGGCTCAATGCTATCTAATGAGCTCCATACAAATCCTCTGGCCCAAAAGTTTTCTTTAGCTTTATAACACGCCAAATCTGCCATTACATTTGACAAACTTAAGTGTTGGCTTAAATTGTAGATAAACTCCATACCCTTAAGTTCTTCCTCTTGAGTAAGTTCGACTCCTAGAGTCCTGGGGTCTAGAATATATGCTGCAAAATGTATTGGCCTCATTGCCATATTGCATCTTGAAGATACTGATGTTAGAATCTGCTGTTTGCTTTCTTCGCTCAATGTCGAAATCTCATTTAATGCAAAACGTATCTTAGCTTGTACATCTCTAAATGTAATGTATGTGCGATGCAAACGATTCTGGTCGCTCTCTAAGTAAAATATGCTTTCAGTGACTGGTTCCAAAATACTTATACATTCCCCTGTCTTCGTCCAGAAATCATCACTTAGAATTAAATCTTTAATATCTCTTGAAATTACCACATCTTCTCTAACTGTTAATATTTGCAAAGCTATCTTATTTGCTTTCAAACTTTTTAACGAAGTAACATGACTTCCCCATCTTGTAGCACAAGGCAATTTTAGTGTTTGTGTAGAATCTTCACCCTGCCTTGATTTTATCAACAAGGAACTTAATCGTTGACTCCTTTTAACAGTTTTTATTATATTTATGGCTTGCATAATAAACACAGTTACTTCTTGTATCTTTACAATATCTTGGCACAACAAGTTAAGGATATGTGCACAGCAACCGAGAGGAACAACATGTGGATATTTGAGTTTTGTTAATTCGAATGCCTTTTGTATATTTCTAGCGTTATCGCCAATAAGTACAAGAAACTTATTTACTCCATACACTTTCATTACTTTTTCAACTTCTTGGCTAAGGTATTCACTAGTGTGAGGATTACTTTCTGTATTCAAACTTTTAACGTATGCAGGTTGAGGTTTTGATATAAGAAAGTTTATTATTCCTTCATTTCTTAAATTAGACCAGCCATCGCACTGAAGGTGTAAGTAACTACAAGCATTTAGTTCCTCATTTAACTCAAAACGCATTTCTCTATATATTTTATCTAAGTATTTTGTCGCTAAAGCTTGACGTGAAGGTATTTTAAATTTTGGTTGCAATTTTTCGAAAAATTGTATCCATAAAGGATGTTGCACCATCGATAATGGCGTCCCTGTTACAAATATAGCTCTCGCTAATTCTGTTTTTATATGATCATCGGTGTCTTGAAACTCAGCATTTATTGTAGTGTTAGCAGACGACGAGGGGCTTATAAAAGAATCATTTGTCTCTATCTCTGACAGTCCAGACATTTTGGTTTTGGACGAGCTATCTTTTATAAGTTTCATAGAGTCTTTTAATGTTTCTGGAGATTTTGGACAAGTGATAAGATGTTGAAGCATTTTGGCAGCATTACTGAATTTGTAGACCTTATTACAAAGCTTGCAAGAAACAGACTTGTTTGGTAAAGTACGGTAGTGCTCCCATATGCGTAAATCTTTAGGTCTCCCCATTGAACCTAAAAAAATGAACGATGATTAGTTGGTCTGACGAAAATTCAACAATAGAGTGCCTATTTTTTTACAATGATTATTTCTTGTTATTTACAATAAATTTATTAAAAAAATAATAAAATAAATACAAAAAACCTTTGTAAAATTACATCTCCTCGGAGGATTAAACGCAGACGCTAGTTTATTATCGTATTGTTCTGTATTTTTCTCAGCAACTTCTTTAATTCGATTAGGTACTTACGCATATTATGTTAAAAATAAATATCTAGTACACATCTTAGGCTATCCACCATTATTATCCAATGACGACTCTCAGCTAACTATGCACTATCATCCAAAATAAACGTGTATGGAAAATTTTATCCCAGTCGGTTGAGGATTGAGGATAATTGCATCAACATACGAACATACCTACATACTTTTATTTACATAACGCAAGCTAAATAAAAGCTTGTAATAATACATCTAATTTTAAGTTAAAATTGTTAAGTGATCATGATATAATTGTATCATTCAAAAATCCACTTACCTTTAATTATTTCTTGTTAAGTATAAATATTATTTCAAATCTGCTCCCTTAATATGCACTTTTTTACTGCTTTTCCTACCTAACACGTTACCAGGAAGTCACGTTACCAGAGTCAGAGTAATAGTGAACACGTTTGACAGTGATTGTCGTCGCCTCATATTCAGCGTCGACGAATAGGGGAATCCCCAGTCATAATGTATTGCATGCGTGGCGGTCTTACTTCAAATCCATAAACAAAGAGATAATTACAGAACTCGATACTAGATGGCGCTGTTTTTGTTTGAAGAAAGTTTGCGGGCTAAAATACATAGAATTTCATCAATGACTTCCACAAAGAACAACATTTCTGTTTTTTCTAAGTCCGTATCTCTTCCGTATATTTCATAAGATATAAGCTTGGGCTACATTGTTATGCAACGTGATTTTGTCGCTGTCTTGCTAGCAGGGTTGACAGATATACGATTTAAATCGTACTCATACTATTATTTGTCTATTTTTTAATGTACGATCGTAAAGATTATGATCGTAATTCGCACAAAAACATACGACTTTTTGGTTACCTGGCAACATTTTTATTATGAAACGAACATGCTCACATCATCAGTCACATGCAACAATTTATTGGGGATTTCCCCTTCACATCTGGCAGTCCTGCTTGCTAGAATATAGGTAAGTCAGCCACAGTTACTGACGATCGATATTTAAAGGGTATTGTTTTTGTGCTAAATATTTCATAAAAACGTTATTTAATACTTTGTGGATTATTAATTTAGTTGATAATCACTGGAAGTAAAATGGATGCTAATTTGAGAGATCAAGATCTTCGTATAAAACAGTTAATAAAAGAAAATCTACGTAAGTACTCTTTTTATACCTAGGTAGGTAAGGTATAATAAACACAAAAGGTACTTAGATCGCGTGTGTTCGAAGCATTTATTCTAATAAATTTAATTTAAAATTGTAGAAAGAAAAAAATGTCTGCCAAGCCGTAGCCGAAGCCGATCTCCAAATATATTTGGCGATAGTGAGACCCAGTGTCCAGATGATTTACCCAGCGTCGTCGCAACAAAGAAAAAAACGAGGATAAAGTAAAAGAAAATTTACTGAAAGAAGAAACAAACTGTTCTAAATGCTTAATTTATGGAGAAGAGGATAAAAGAAATGAGTATTTCGGACTGTTAGTGGCTCAAGAATTTAAATATATACGGCCATGTGTGCGAACGAGGTGTTATGAAGAAATTTTAAAGTATCTACGGGAAGCAAAAGGCCAACATGTTGATCAACTGCAACATGAAAACACTGAAAATTAATTACTTTCATTTTATTATATATAGATTTTTAAAATTTCCTGAAATATTATTAGTTAACGTTTTATTTAATATTGTAGAATTGATCAATACAATTTATAAAAATAATTTATTGGTATTACTTACATATTTTCAAAAAAATACGTAAAAACCTATTTTTTTGGGTGATTATGGGAGTTTATGGGTGTTTATTGGGTTTTTACCAAAGCACCGGGTTTAAACCCGGTGCTTTGCCCATCTGTAGCCGTGGGCATCATATCGAATTCCTCTGAGCACAATCCGTTGTATAAGCGGTATAACACGCAGAGTGAGGCAAAATCTCTCCTAAGACTTAAAGGTTCGATACCGCTTGTAAGCCTGGGATCACCGACAATTCTCATAGCTCGTCGTTGCAGGAAGGGTTCAAGCTGATATTTAGGTGCTCTCGCCTATAAGTGACAGCAATACTTCAAGTGGGGCCGGATTTGCGATTTGTAGAGTATTAATCGCTGATCCGGCGTGAAGTAACGCTTCGCTCTATTGAGCACACCGAGTTTTTTCGATGCCAGCTTCACCTCATCTTCGAGGTGGCCACGAAACTGTACATCACTAGAGATGTCGACACCAAGGATTATAATGCTTTTAGAGATGTTAAGAGACGTCCCTTGGAACTGTGGAGCCACAGCAAATGATTTTTTTTTAGCGGTAAACGCGCAAGCTTGTGTCTTAGCGGGGTTAAACTGGACTAAGTTTTGTCGTCCCCAATCGGAAACACTAGTTAAAGTTCTCTCGATTTCAGACACAAGCTGTTCACGATTGTCCTCCACGATGGAACGAGGGACATTGGTACGACCCGTATAATGGGCGTCCCCAGTGCTGTCATCCGCATAACAATGAATGTCACCTAAGGGCAACATATCATTAATATGCAGCAGAAACAACGTTGGGGATAGCACAGAGCCCTGTGGGACGCCAGCGTTAATGTCCATGCTTTCGAAGCAGCAACCATCAACAACGGTTTTTATGCATCTGCCGGACAAAAAACTGGAAACCCATTCACAAAGGCTGTTGGGAAGTCTATAGTAGGGCGTTTTCGATAAAAGACCCCGATGCCAGACCCGGTCACAAGCCTTTGCAATATCAAGACCGACAGCGCCTCACCTTGACTCTCAATGGCTGACGCTCATCGGTGTGTAAGATATACCAAGAGGTCGTGGGGAAAGGGATTGTTAGTAATGGGGTCAAATAGCCCCATTACTAGTAATATACCGTCAGGTTGACCTCCACGTGGTTCTCCCTGGAAACTATCGTGGCTAATTCTAGTTCAGTTTCTTAGGATGGGCTAACTGCTTTCATCTTTATTAGTCATCTATCACTGGTGCCCCGCCATTGTATACCGATCGCGCGGACAGGGTTGCTATACCATTATCACCCCTTAAAAAAATATATACCAAGAGGTCACCAGTTGAGCGACTATGGCAAAAACCGTATTGGCGGTCACTCAATAAATCGTGATCCTCTAGGTATCTCAATAGCTGTGTGTTAATTATACGCTCCATCGCCTTAGAGAGAAGGAAGGCGATCGCTATCGGTCTGTAATTTGAAGGGTCCGACTTATCGCCCTTTTTAGGTACAGGATGTACAAGGGCGGTCTTCCATGTCGAAGGAAATTGCCCTGAGGAGTACGAGATCGTGAAGAGACACGTTAGTGCAGGACATAGTTTCGGAACACACTGCTTTAGGACCAGTGCTGGTATACCATCTGGCCTACTCGACTTATGAACATCTAAGGATAGTAACTGCCGTCGGACTTTACATTGTGTTATGGTAATTTCTGGCATAGAGTGCATTTGGTGAACTAGTGCCGATGTCGTTCACTAGAGCTTTCTAAAATCTGGCCAAACAATTACGGCAGATATCTATTGTCAGCAACTGTAAACCATGAAGGAAGAACTAGCTGCTAAACAATTGAGATTGTTAATCGCTCTAGGCCACTGCTGCTTCGCGACAACGCAAGACCACACACTGCACAACAAACAACCACTAAGTTAGATGAGCTACAATTGTAACGTCTGCGACATCCACCTTACTTCCCGGACCTTCCTCCAACAGATTACCATTTTTTACGGAATTTGGACAACTTCCTACAAAAAAAATTAAAAAAAAATCAACTCCAATGCGGCAGTCCAAACCGCCTTCAAAGAGTTTATTGATTCTCGCCCCCATGGTTTTTTTAGTAAAGGGATCAATGAACTACCTATGAGATGGATAAAAGTGCATAGATAACAACAGTGCATACTTTGATTAATTAAATATATTTTACAAAAAAAAAAATCACTTTATATTCCTCCCGTACAAAACGCCAATGTCATATATGGACCTAATACAAATATTAATTAATATTCCTGGTAACAGCAGATTTTTCAATGACATTGTAAAAATTTAAAAAATCTTTAGAAAAATCATCCTAACCAAAGATTTATTATTTAAAAATAAATTATTATATACATAGTATAATTATAACCATTATATTAAAAATCATTTAATCAACATAATTATTTTCATTAAATGCAAAATATAATTAATACCATCTAATTTTTAAAATGGAAATATTTATTTACTGTAATAATTAAGTACCTACCTATAAAGTTTTGTTATATTAAGAAAAAATCAATAATAATTTCCATTTATGTCAATTAATTACTACTTTTCTATCCATGATCTCTTATAATAAGGTAATAGATAAGATGTGTCATCACCATATTTTATCCTTAAGGTTTTATAAGGGGACATTGAATAATAATCCTGTCTGCGCTATTGGTATGTACAGGTGGGGCACCATTGAGAGAATGTAAGTAAACACGAAAGCAGTCCAGTTGGCTCATAGTGACAAATTCAAGAAATAAAGACCAAAGTTTGTTTACCTGATAAAGTCCGTTCCTAAAAATACCCTCCCTCTTCGTTAAAAGATACCTATAGTTTTTTTATGCAACTTAGAACGGCAAACAAGCTGCCAGCCCATCTGATGGAAAGTGGTAACCGTCGCCTATAGACATGAGCAATACCACGGACATAACAGAGTATACTGTCTCGCCCATGATACCCCGCATGCGTTGCTATTTCTGAGGACTCAGGATTTTTTTATGAAATAGTAACCTCGCCTGCACCATCGGTATACAATAGCAGGGTACCATGATGATGGTCGAGGTCTGCCTAATAGGCTATATTTCTAACAATTGAGTTACTCATTCTTGTTATTAATAATCACATCTCCACAGAGGTTAAAATTAGGTCATTTATAACATATTTGTTCATAACGAAGTATGTCAACGTCGTTATCATCTATTAATTTTCAGAAACAATTGAAGATATTTTAAATATTTCCGATAGACTTTTTAAAAAGTGCTCTGCCTATGATTTAAAACATTAATCTTAGAGTACGTTGCACATAAGACTAACACAAAAAATTACGCACTTATATATTTCGCTTTAATTTTTTTAGTTCGCGGGCAGAGCACGTTTTATTTGCCACGTTGTCACATTTCATTTTTATTTCCCAATTCAATTGTATTATAAACCTATGAATATAATAAAAACTAAAATCTACTGCAAACCTATTTTAGCGACTGTTTTCTCTTTTTTTTCTCCTACATTTTTACCTGAGAAGAAATCTTTGATTCCCAATTAGAAATAAACTGACAAAACAGTACAATGGCTTAAATTGGTTTGTAGTAGGTTTTAGTTTTTATGAACAAGAGGTAATAATAGTAGGGAAGACAAAGAAGGTATTGTTAATTATGGAGATTAGGGGTCTGATTGCTAGCAATATATCCAACTAGGTCGACCTCCCCGTGGTCCTCTCTGGAAATCGTGTTGAAAATCGTTCGCTCTGGACAAGTGGCGGGCGTGTTCGTCGATGGAGTCGATATCGCTGGTGAGTTCATGAGATAGATAGCAACTTCAGATTCTTATTCCAACTCATGAACTCGTTTGCAATGTCGATTGAATCGACGAATTCGCTTATGGTGGCTAGTGTATACCGATATTAAAAAAATGGGGGGTGGGGGGGGGGGAGGTGGAGTGATTGTAATGCAAACATAATTTAAAACTTTAAACATTTTAAATTCGAGTGGAATAATAAGCGATAGCTCAACTGATAAGAGAATTAGCTTCGGTATGGTGTAGATGATAACATGCCAGTGCCAGGATGGTGTTCTATCGATATAATGGTGATGTGCTGGTGGGGTTCCAGCGAAGGATGGTAGGTGAAAATGAATTCAGGCCAGTTGGCCATTTAACCACTATAGCTGCAGAATTTATTTCTGCATTATGAAACGATTAATATAGCAACATAATAATAGATTGAGATTCAAAATATTTAATAACAAGAGTAATAACAGAATTACTGACTGGAGGACTGGGTGGGCCGCTCCTACCCAGCCCACCCTTAAATACATCTATGTATATGAATGTGTGTAACATGGATTTACAACATGAAGTTTGAGGTTTCTAAGCAGTTGTTTCTTGCATCTAATTGTATTTTTTTTTTAAATAAGGTGGATAATTTTTTAAGTAATTGGTCTAATGATTGGTAATTTGAGTCCAAAACTTTCTCTTGGACATATTCTTTAGATAGTGCCCTCGTCGTCTGCAAAATAATTGTGAAAGCATTTTGATAATATTTTTGTTACAACCTTAGTGTGATTGTATTTTACCCCATAAAAATACTGTCAAATAACTGGGTTTACATATAGATTGTTGTTTAACATGGAAGCTGCATAACAAAATAAAAAGAAATTATGTGATCCTATGTTTTAGAAACTTATATTAGTTTTCCAATCAAAACTTAAAACTGTCCTAGGATAATAAAATTTTAAAACCTGACATGGATTACAGCTCTGGGGAAGTGCATCCATATCCAACAGTAATATTATCCAAAGGGTCCAAAATATTATTCTGGGAACAATACCGGTTGTTCCATGGTTTATCACCAGTAATGAAATCTATAAAGAATTGGAAATGTGAATAATAAGTAGAGGATACATTCCATAAAAACCAAGTACATAGAGCACTGCAACTACTGAAACAAATTGGCTACACAATTATTGAAGCAGAATTATCTAAAGTATCTAAAAAATAGCAACATTATATAGTGATACTAATTGCATTAATCCTAAATATTCCTAATAGAGTGGACTTTCTATAATATATATATACACATAAATAATCTGCTTGTACTTTGGGGATTGACTGCAGATAAGATGAAGAAAAAAAATTCACTATAACTAATATAATAAAATATCTATTTCCAAAACTGCATTTGAAAATACTCATTAACTTTTAATAAAATTAATTGCATAAGATGTTACAAGATTTATCAATTTCATCAAAATTTTTTAAAAGATATCTCAAATCACTGCAGATTTTAGCACATTTTGTATCAATATCTTAATGTAGTTTTATCACTAAAAATACCAAGTAATATCTGTTCAGTATAAATCATGAAATATTCTGAACTATTACATATATCTAGATATGCAAGATGAATTCCTAAAGTTGACTGACCCATGAGATTTTTTGGTAATAATGCTATTATCTACTTTGGATCTATTACTTTACATCAGGAAGATCTTCTTCTTCAGCAGAACTGGTGTCTTCTGTTTCATTTTCATCACCAAAGTCACCTAATTTACTTGAAAACATATCATTCATGTCATCAATCTCATCACTGCTCTCGTCTTCATCTTGCCAGCGGTTAAAATCTACTTTCAGCCAGTGATGTTTCTTCTTGTCACTTGTTAGTGAAGGCCAGAAAGGTTGATCTACTTTTTCTTTCACTAATGTTAAATCAATATACCTGCCCTTGTTGTCATATGTACTTTTATCTGGATTAACTTCAGCATATAAATGTATTTCCACTTTATGTAATTTTTGATCTGGTGCACAAATACCTTTAAATGATACAATTTTCCTTTCAATGTTGATTTCTGGTTTTACACATTCTACATTAAATGTTAATAATATATGAGAATTTCTTTGTGCCCAGGAAACTGAAGGTGGTGTTGCTACTGTTTCTGATGTCATTGTATCTGGAAAAACATGCTTTATTCAATTGTGAGATTGAGTGGGTACTAAAACCATATTTAAACTAATATTATGAAGAGAAAAGATTTCCTTTTTTGTTTAAATAGATAAACTAGAATTATAATTTTAAATAGAAGGCTTGTGTTTATTCATAGACAGTTAATGGCTGATATAATTATAATGATAAAATAAATATAAAAGATTGCGATCACCAATGTTCACATGTTAATTATTTAACTATGGTTAAACGGGTGAATAGATAAAAAAAAAATGGTATCTATACATTTAAACCATATACTGTTTTCAGAATGTTTACCTTATAAACTTAATAGATTTACAAAATGAACCGAATAATTCTCGTTTAAGTACTGATATTTTTTAAAAGAGATTCAACCAAGTAGCCCAAATTTGGGTTAACCTGTTTATAATAATGCTTTGAATAAGCGGCTTATTAACTTTATATAGACAATAGTTTACAAAATAGATAGGTATATTGAGTTGCACTTTCACCCAAAATACTTTTTCTATCTTTTCAGTTACTTGATTAAAACTCGCAATGAATGCTATTTAATTTCTAATTTTTTTTTGGAAGCTACAAAGAAACAACAAAAGACAGTAGTAACAATAGGTAGATAAGAAAAGTAACAGTTACTTCCTACCACAGAATATATAGACTATGGGACTGATTCCGAGGCGCTATTTTTCTATTTTTATCACTAAAAATTTATAAAAACTTCTATTGGTATCACTGCTGAATCTTTGACGACCGAAACTAATTTATTTACTTATTCATTATTGAATACATTACAAAAAGTGATTTGTACAAAAGGCGTACTTTAACATTACAAAGTATCATTTAGAAGTATTTGTGCACCAGTTCAAAAATTACATAAAGTGAAAATACATTTATATGCTGAAGTTAATCCAGATAAAAGTACATAATGAAAACAAGGGCAGGTATATAATTAACGTAACATTCTCTCCCAGTTAATCTTTGGCAAAACAAAAATTTAACTGTGTGGTAAAAAAATTAAAATTATTGTAGATAAACAATAACAAACGTATCCATATTGACTAATCAATTATATAACACATACAATGGATAATTACTTCACATTATGATCATATAAATATACTCACATGAATACATTAAAATAATATTATTTACATTCTTGTGTCGCGGTGTTTGTTACCAAACTTCTCCGAAACGGCTTTGCCGATTTTTATGAAATTTTGTGTGCATAATGGATAAGTCTGAGAATCGGCCAACATCTATTTTTCATACTCCTCAATGATAAGAGTGACCCACACTTAATTTTTTTTTTATTTTTTGACATTTTTTTTATGCTTTATCATTGAAAAATATTATATTACGTAATAGGGTTGCAAGATGGCAATCGAAAATAATAATTGTAGTACGATGAATTTTCATGTATAATTCTAGAAATAATGTATATGGTAAAACAACGTTTGCTGGGTTAGCTAGTATGCATATATAATATACATATAAAACATATTAACGAATTCAATTTCTAATAGTTTTTTTTTTTACAACATAACATAATAATAGTTTATCATCATAAACTTATTTTGTCCATAAAATAGTAAATTCGCGAAACTATCACATTAAAATGTTAGGTTAAGCATGACGCCTCAGAATTGACCTCGCTGTTTCTTTCTATATAGATTACCTACATAATTTTCTTTATGATAAATAGAGTCCGTGTTATTTATTATGAAGATATTTAGGAATAAAATAAGATTAGGAGTTGTCCAAGGGAAAAATAGGCAGTATTTTTATTTAGATATAGAATGACATCTATCGTAAGTGTAACTAGCTAGTAATAAAAAGGTAACCATAGTTTCATTTACATAGGTTTTTTTTTTAATGGATGATAATGGTATGGTAACCCCGCCTGCGCTACCGGTATACGCCGGCGGTGCACCAGTGAAGGATGATAGGTGAGGATGAAGTAGGTCAGTTTGCCCATCGTGACAAATTCAACAAGAATTGTTCACGATGGTTTCCAGAGGCTATACCTAATAAGGCATATTGCTAGCAATGGGGCTGTCAAACTCCATTACTAACAATCCCTTTCCCCCTCATTTACATAGGTTGGTATTCAACAAAGTCTAACAGTTTTAGTTATGGTTTTAGACGTCGATGTGGCATTGACATATTAATGCAGGATAATTCAAATGTCAATATTATACTGTCAAAGTCATTCAAGTTTTAAGAACAAACGTACTAAAAAAAAAAAAAAAATCAAGTTTTAAGACAAACATTAAGTCCACATTGTTTCTTAGGTTATTTTCTGATTTTTCTTATTCCTTGTAGGTTAAATCGCTATTATTTATAATTAATAAAACAGTTTAGTAGAAACAATATAGATATACAAATATAAAGATTAGAAATATCATTTTGAATGTTCTGAAACGTAGTGGTTCTATGTTTTGTTCTGACTAACGTGATAAGAATGGGAAAAGTTAAAAAGTTTAAACCTTCACAAGTAGGAAGAAACATAGCTCTTGCTGATCAAATAGAATCAGTGAATGCACTAAAGAGTAAAAACAGACGTAAAGAAAGAAACCGACACGATGATGATGATGAGGTAAGCAGTTACATGAGTATTCCTACTGCACGTTAATCATACAACTACATATTTGCTACTAACGATCTGGCCCGTCTTCGAAGGGTAGATATTTTAATGATAATAATATCGAAATATTCAGTTTCAGTATTTTTAATGATTATTAGAGGCACATTTTAAATAATAAATAGAATACATTAAAGGTAATTTGTTTTTGACAAAAATTCTACTTCAGTGACAATAAAACGCTATTATTATTTTGTTATCAGTTTATTAATGCTGATCTCTCGAAAAAAATTTTAAAAACTGCAAGAAGACAGCAAGCAGAGTTAAGTGAAGATGGATCAGGCCCATCTCCTGTTAAACATGTCCAATTGCAATCAATGCTCAATGGTAAGGTTAAAGTATGACTAGTCTCTTGTATCAGTACTTTTATCTAAAAAGCTCATTTGTTAATCATGAATCCATTTCTTTCATGTCCCTATTATTACACTAATATATATGATATATATTGTTATAACTGTTGGAATTTAATAGAAATTAAAAAAATACTTTAACAAAGTATTTTTTTTTTAATTATATAAAATATTACATTCATTACCATCATAATCATACCATATTATGTAAGTAACTGTCCACTCCTGAATATAGACCTCTTCCTTTCGGAGCATTAGCAGTAGTTGCCATACTTGGCAGGTGGGTTGGTAACTTCAGTTAGGCTTTTGATGATGTTTTAAGAATGACACTACTGCCCACCCTTTGACCATTAGGTTCCCTTAGTTACTTTTTATGACATCTACAAGAAAGGAAGGTATATTTTTTGGAGTTACACATTACAACCCATTAACTGACAATGTGACAAGTTATTTGTATAGGCATATTAAAGTATCTACTGTTATAAAAAAATTAGAGCATATATAGAAAGCTTAGTTTTGGTATTGTAACTCCTATGAAACAAATCATAGCCAGAAATAAATTGCTCTTTTTCCTTCATGGAGAGAAAAGCATTTAATTTCCTTTTCTTTTATTATTCTCTATATTTATACATCAATGTAGAGTACTAAAAATTCAGTATGTTTACCCAAAGTACTGATATGAGTGTATTCATTTCTATCTAGTGAGTTTAGAAGTCAAAAGTGACAATATTCTAGCAAATATTGTAAAAAAAGAACTCATTCCACTTGTTAGAAATAGGTTTATTTTCATATAACCGTAAACTACTAGCTGGTTGATATTTAAAAAGACATGGTTTTTAAATCAAGTTGACACACCTCAGAAACAATAGTTGCTTCCTTGTATTACAAGAGCAAATCCAGAAAGCATTTTTATTATACTTTTATATTTTGTTTATCCTATTTCCTTCCATTACGAAAATATTAGCTGATCATCTTATCGGATTTTAACTGTCCAATGCTTAACATAAGCCTCCTCATTGTGAGGTTTTGCCAGTAGTTGCCACACTTGGCAGGTGGAAAGGTAACCACAGTCAAGCATTAAAGATGTTTTAAGAGGGACACCCGACCCTCATCCTCCCTTTGTCAATGTAGATATTAGCTGTGATCTCAAGTTAAACACCAACACCACTCCACTTATTTCCCTTATGATAAGCGTTTGCTTTTTTTTTTTGTATATAATGGAAATAAAGTTATTTTATTATTTGTTTAATTTTTATTCAGGAGTTTTAAATGTATCTATTGAATATGAATCTTAAGGTTCTTTTTTTTGTATATCTGTTTGCGCCTTTCCTTTTTGTGTGTATAAATTTATGGGTGCAGGAACTCTTCAATAACTCGTTTATTGTTACTTTTGTGAAATATGAGTTTATTATACGAAATATTATTAGGATCAATCATTGCTAATTACAGAGAGCGAGCGAGTCAAGTTCATGTCTATCACCGCAGTAGCAGACCGTTGAAGTCTCACTTCACTCCGTTGACGTTTTATCTATTTTACTCAATAGATGGCACCAACAATATCAATGTATTTATACTTCAATATGTGTATTTTCATTTAATAATCAGGCTTTAAAAATGTATAAATAAAAGCTATTTATCTGATTCCCTTCCTAATGATATAGTGGTAATATACCCTCACTTTAATTCTCTATTTGTGCTAACTGACCTGCTTCATCCTCACCTATCATCCTTTACTGGTGCCCCGCCGGTGTATACCAATAGCGTGGGTGGGGTTGCCATTACATTATCACCCATTAAAAAAAGCAGCTGTATTCCCAGCAATATACTCTGACAGGTTAACCAGTACTGGAAACATCTTGATAATCATGATGGATCAACTGACTTAGCTTTATTTCTACTGCTAATACTGATATGATTGTATTCATACATTTTATCAATAAAAAAAAAATTCAACACTCACAACAATAGTATCAATATAAGAGTTCTATTGAAATTGATGAATATATTTTTGTATTTTATAATGTTTTTATATCAAAATATTATAATTTTGTAATTTCTCTTGAAATTCAGATGGAGAATCGGACAATGATTCTAGTTCAGAGCATGATGAATTGGAAACTGATACATATTACGATAATATTGAAATTAATGATGATGATGAGGAAGCTTTAAAAATGTTTATGTCATCAAACCCAGAGAGAACTCGTACACTGGCAGATATTATAAAAGATAAAATTACTGACAAGCAAACAGAATTACAAACACAATTTTCAGATATTGAAACCCTTAAGTTGCAGAATATCGACCCGAGGTACATACAATGTAATATTTGATAATTAATACATTACAAAACTTATTTTTGTACTTATATCTAATTTTTAATTTCATAATCAATAGAAATAGGTGTTTTCACAGATGTGTTTTATATATTTATATATATTAAATAACAATAGAATGCATATGTATATTTTTTAGGATCAAATCTATGTATGAAGGAGTACGAGATGTTTTACAAAAATATCGTTCAGGAAAATTACCTAAAGCATTTAAAATGATTCCCAACCTTCAGAATTGGGAACAGATATTGTACATAACTGAACCAACAACTTGGTCTGCAGCTGCTATGTATCAGGTATTTATTGCATTGTAATTAAAGTATAGGGATGTAAGGTACTTAAAGTTGATGTCAATTTTGTTAAGATAAATATATTTTTTGTTATATATCTACTTCTTACTTAATAAATAATTTTGGTATATCTTTTTGTAGATGGAATTTTAAAAATAGTATAAAAATATTAAATATTAATTACTAGGTATGTAATCAATGCAAAACATTTTTATTTTACTGATTTGTTTAAGTTATGCTTATTTCGATAAAAACATGCCAAGATAGTTAACTAATAATAATATTTTCAATGCATTTTGTAAATTGTTATAATTACATGAACTATATTTTTCTACAGGCTACTAGAGTTTTTGCATCCAATCTAAAGGAGAAAATGGCTCAACGTTTCTACAACTTGGTATTGCTACCCCGAGTCAGAGATGATTTGGCTGAGTACAAAAGATTGAATTTCCATTTATATCAAGCATTAAGAAAAGCTTTATTTAAACCGGGTGCTTTCATGAAAGGCATTCTTCTGCCTCTTTTGGAAGTAAGTTTTTATCCAAAGCTTTATAGCTATTGATATTTTAAAATTAACAACAAATCCCTTTTGGATTTTTTACCAAAAACATCTCCATGTGTGCCAAGTAGACTACGGTTGGCCTGGGCAATAGTACATACAGTTGTTAGTATAATAGCCTGGCTACTCTTTGCTTGGGTTAACCTTCTTTTGGGCTGACTTCAAATTTTTTTGTAATTCAAACATGACCATTCAAAAACAAATGCATTATATCATTGTTTCCCAACCTTTTTTGGGCCATGCCCCACTTTAACATTTCAAAAATTTTTATGTCCCCATAATAATTTTTCCCGACAAAGTTTACTTGACGATTCTAATCGCCCAGTTGATATTTTGGTAATGTCAAACGAAATTATTTTTTACAGCATTTTAATTTACTTTTTTTGTTAAATTTGACACTGATATCTACTCCTAGCATTGCATTTAAATGGCCCGGAGTAAAATTGCATCGAGTCCATTTTTTAATTACTCTCCTTTAACTATCAAATTGCCCCCTTGTGGGGCGTAGGCTCCACGTTATAATGCGGAAATCTCGCATTATATTCTATGTTTTATATGTATATTTCTGATTATATTAAAACATTGATTTTTCAGGCCGGAGACTGCACATTAAGAGAAGCTATTATTGTAGGTTCAGTATTAGCCCGCAATTCTGTACCTGTGTTACATTCTAGTGCGGCATTACTAAAAATAGCTGAAATGGATTACACTGGTGCCAATTCTATATTTTTGCGAATTTTGTTTGATAAAAAATATGCATTGCCCTATAGGGTTGTAGATGCAGTTGTGTTCCATTTTCTAAGGTGTGAAAAGTTGGATTTTTTTTTTATTAAAATAACTAAGATAAAATTAACCATTTGGCAGGACTTAATAAGAAGTGTGTAAACTAACTATATGGATATATAAGGAAGTCAAAAATTCTAAGTTTTATAATCACTTGTGATGAAAGTGCCATTTTAGTATCAGAGGCTCAAAATCTTAGCACCGAATCAAAAGAAATAGGTCAAAAATAATATATAAAAGTTTGCATAGTTACTTGTCTTATTTGTAGTCAAGCAACTGTGTGCAGATGGATGAGTTTTGGGTTGAAGGGTGAGATATGGTAGGCATGGAGTTATAACGTTTTAATCTTCAGAAGTAACAATACATTAGCATCACAGTACATTATGGAGGTCATATTCAACTAAATTGTTATATTAAAAAGAAATATTTACTTGCATAGTTTTTTAACTATGACAATTTATAATTGGTGTATATCGGCTACAGGTTCCAAATGGATAGTCGTACATTACCAGTATTGTGGCATCAAGCGCTTTTAACATTTGTGCAGCGTTATAAGGCAGATATCTCTACCGAGCAGCGAGATGCCCTTCTCGAGTTACTAAGAAAACAGTCACATTCTACAATTACACCAGAAGTAAGTCTTATATTTTTCAAGCAAATTCCAACATAGTTTTATTTTATACTTTTGCATTGTTTACACGTATTTTAAATACACAATCACAACTAAATATAATATAAAAGCTTTTACAAGTAAATAGTACCTACATATAAAATAAACAAATAAATTATTTATTTATTGTTATACCAATAAATTTAAAGTAGTTCACTTTAAATTTCGTTATATATTCACTTCATATTAGTCCTTGATGATTCATTCATTGAATACAGAGTCTAAGGTGATTTTGATGAACAGTTTATTTTGTATAATGGTTTTTGTCTTGTATGTTTTCAATAGATTGCATTTTATTCAAAAATAAAATGACAATTATTTTTCTAAAATGCAGGTAGATAATTTTAGGCAACTTTAAAGTTGTTTTTGGTGTTTACCTTGTTATTTTTTTAATATTTTAAGTAAGAGTGAAAATTTGTGTAGGATGGATGGATATTTTATACTCTTTTACATAAAAACTACTGAACAGATTTTAATGGAATTTGTTACATGTGTAGATTACATCGTAATTTAGCATATTGAATACTTCATGTAACTACTAATTCAAGCAGAGCGAAACTGCGGAATACAACATAGTGAGATTATAATTTATATTCTTTTTACAGATACGAAGAGAATTACAAGCAGCGCAATGTAGAGATTTTGAAGTGAATGCAGCAATATCTTCACAGATGGTTGTAGAATAGAATTGGAAGTGTTTTATTCTGAATAAAAAAAGAAGGGACTTTTACTTCTTACTTTATTGTCGTGTGCAAGGGTTTATCACCTTTATCCCTCTAAGAGGATAAAGAGTTGGAAATTAATAGTTTATACCCTTTAATGGAAGTCCTAAATTATTGTATATATTTTTTAATGAGGCAAAAAAACTTGGGTCTGACTATGATTTATTTTATAGGAGTTGCAATATCACATCTTATGGCCATGATTTTTTTGTAAAGGTTATAGTATGAAACTTACCTTTCTGTATGCTATTTTTTCTTGGTGCTCTGAAGCATGTACATAATGCATACTTTCAAATGTGAGAATAATCAGATCATGATTGGATATAAGTTATTTGTACTTTAATTATTTTAATAAACTACCTGTTACTTTAAGACTATCAATTTCCAACAGTCAGTTATAGTGTTTTTTGTATAATCATAAAATTTTTAGCTTATTAACTAAAAGTACCGATAAAATAATAAAGGTTATTGTTTTATTTAATATCTATTTATTTCACAAGTCATAATAGGCCTATCAACTTGACTTGATATTAAATGCACTGGAGGTAAGATAGTTTGTGCACAATCACATTTTCTCCCAGATATAAAGTCAAATGAACCAACTTTGGAATGACAGTTTTCACAGTGGAGTTTCCCTTTAGTCCATTGCTCATCTTCAATTTTTATTTTTATCCAATGTGGTAATTTATCCTCTTGTAAGTGAATAAAATTATTGACATTGTAACTTGTGCATTTTTGAGCATCGCATGTAGTTCTATATAACTTTTCATATATGTTTTCTAGAAGTGTATGACGGCATTTATGACATTTAATTATTTTTGAATTCACTTGTGGGTCCATTATGGTGCGTTATTATTGTTATAATAGTAAACTTGACATGCTAAAATCCTTAAAGTTACAAATTTTCTTTTCAGTTTCAATAATGAGAATTGAAATGTAAGTTGCGTTTTTATTAATTGGTTTCCTTTTTCAGAGGGAAAAGAAATATTAATATTTTGATAACTAAAATATGGTTAGCCTGACAAACTAAATACCACAGAGTAGATTATACATACTTAAAGTGCGGTCGCTCAGAGATTGCGTTTCTGACACCTACAATTTGTCATAACTAGTGATGTACCATAAATAACATTAATTATATTTAGTAACGTCATTTATTGCATTCATTATACATATTTATTCAATTTAATATATATTTTGTTATTTTTTATAGGATTTATATTTCAAACAAAATGTTAATACAATTGTTGATGAATGAATTAAATTGAAAGGTAATTTCTGAATGTAACGAAGGGAAAGAGAATAGAAATGCTGTATTTATTGGAAAATGTATATTACGAAATACATAGTTTTAAGCCTTAAATAATGGAGATTATATCAAATCAAAATTTAATCCGACTCCAATTTGCTTTAGGATTCGCTGTCATCTTCACTAACATGTATTATAATTGTCAAGCATAGTATCTTTACGGATAATGCGGTCAAAGTCATCAAATATAATCTTTTTAGTTTTTTCAACCATTTTCATCTAGTCATCTTGTGACTTTTTCGCATGCTTCTTTTAAAAGCATCTTAATTTTTTTTATGCCATACGGTGGAGAAGTATTATGGCGAATTGCATAACCTTTAATTTGAGCCCAGATTAGCTCTATGGCATTGTACTGGCAATGGTACGGAGGAGAAAAAACAGTCCAATAAACAACAATAACAGTCACGCGAAAATACACCACGACAAACATTGGAAAATCGTAGTCTATGTGCGTCTCAAAATGGCAATTTAGAACTGTACTAATTATGTATAATATTTAATATATAAGTATGTTATTGTAGTATTGTATAATCTGTTTATATAAAGATTTAACTATGTAATTCTAACTTTACAAGTATATGATATATAACAAATAATATAACATAAATACCCAACTTCTGTTAATCCATTGACACTTATTTAAATATGACTTCTTTAGGACTTTTATCAGTAATAATTGTGATATATTTTATAAAATGACCACATGGTTTACTATACTTGTTCACTCTTGATACGTTAGGGAGCTCCGCTCTGTTCAACGGTTGGACAAGAAGTGTCTCGTCACCCAAATAACAATCTTTTATATCTACAGTATATATTGTAATCACAATATCTATATATTTGCCCATTCAGGTAATTCGGTTATCCAAAATATAATACCGTAATAAAGTACCCGATTAAAATTAATATAGATATTCGACTATTTTGAATGACATAGTAATAAGTGATGAATTTTTTCCGCAATCAATATCCTAGTAACCCAATATATAGATATTACAGCGGTATCGATATTACCTTATCTATGCTTACTGGCAACACTGGTAGTAGAGGTGTGCAGTACCAAAAATGCGATATATATTACAGTAATAATTAGTCTTGGTAAAACCTGTACACGTATAGTCGCATATATTATATTATCTAGAATAAGATGTGTATATATATATATTTATATATTCATTTATTAGGATATGTTATCGATTCAAATCTAAATTGGAAGGCTCATGTTCATATTGTTAGATCTTAATTATCCAAATTCATTAATGTTCTTACGGTATTAAAAACAAATACAAATTTCGGGTGCGCTTTGGCTGCGTATTATGCAATGCGATATGGCATAATGCAGTGAGGGCATAGCATAGAGTCGAATGGTGTATTTGTCCTACCAAAGAAATGTTAATTTTTCATTCCACCTATATTCTTGAAGTAACAATGTACGTTGGACAAAATATTAAATCATATAAATTTTCAAAAATCCTTCGTCGCAAAAACAGTATAGAATTACCAGAACTAAAACTGTCAATTTTTAAGAATAGCCCATTGTATAGATCGATACAAATTTATAATAAAATTCAAGAAGATATAAAGAATGAAAAGACAGGTAATTTATTTCATACTAAACTAAAAAAATATTTAATAGCAAATTGTTTTTATTCAGTTGACGACTTTTTAGCCAGTTGAAATGCAAAAATGCGCCATGCCACGGTTCAAATCACACATGACTTGCAAATAATTAATCAGATTTATCTAAATATTATATGCCTAAATAACTAGACTGACTTCTAATTATTTTTATGATATTTTGAATTGTTGTTTATTTTGTTTAATGTAAATCGAAATTATTGCATGACAAATCTATTTAAAAACGAGCAATTATATGTAAAATAATTAAATATAATCCGACATGGCGTGAATTTACAGGGTACAGAGGAATAACACCTGAGTCCTCAGGAATGGCAACGCATGGGCGAAACAGTATACTCTGTTATGTCCATGGTACTACTCATGTCTATAGGCGACGGTTACCTCTTTCCATCAGGTGGGCCGTCAGCTTGTTTGCCATTCTAAGTTGTATAAAAAAAAAAAAAAACATTTAAATTGACACTAATGCATGTATATTAGCATAATATGTTGCATCAATATAATTTTGCGACATTCAAACAGGGTTTCATGCGACCGACTGCGACGTAGCGATGCAAATCGGTCCGTTCAACAGATTCAGGACCCGATACGCATTACAACTAAACATTTTTCTTCAGTTATTGAAAGTAATAAGTATATGTTGTAAATATCATTAAATAATTTAAAATTAAATAAAATCCAAATTTAAAGGGGCTGGGTAGGCTGTGACCACCCTAAAATTGTTTGGTGATTACCCCAGCATTTTTTTAGACATTACAAAATATCGAAATATATAGTTTCAATATCTAATATTCATGTTAAATAAGCAGTATCCTTCAATATTACAAAAAAGCGATATTACCAAGCTTAGATACAATATATATATTTAGAATACCAATAAATAGGTATTTTAACCATCTGGAAGAATGGTAGTCTTCCACCGTGCGTTTTTCAAGGCACTTCCTTCCACGTACTTCCATTTTTTAGAATCAACTTCCAGCAGTAGTATTTTCGAACCGATACGACATCATAACTTTCATGAAAAGAGCATATTCCTTTTTAAAATGCCGGCAGCACACCTTTTTTTTATACCACTGAGGTGGCAAACAATCATACTGTCCACCTGATGATAAGTAGTTACCATAGCCTATAAACACCTGCAATACCAGAGGTATTACGCGCGCGTTGCCGACCCTGAAGAAACCTCTTTACCCCCTTTTGAAGAACTCCATGCTGTAGTGTCTTGAGAAAACCTCGGTAGGGAGCTCATTCCATAACCTAAGTGTTCGTGGGAGAAAACATCTCGGACAATGCCGTTAGTGTTATGGGTGATCATAGGCGGCGGTAGTCACTTAATATCAGGTGAGGCGCATGTTCGTTTGCCCTCCATTTTTTAAAAAAAAATATTGTGTGGCATCAAATCTACAGCCGTCGGAAAATAAGGCGATATGTTAATCCGTTACGCCACTAAGATTGTCAATTTACTTGTTCTCTTGATATAAATTATCATTGCATTCATTGATATATGATGGTGATTTCTGGTCATAATTTACATAATGCCATGGGGTTATTAAATGAAACAACTTGTCGCATGTGCGTGATATTTTATTTCAATGAACTCGCTCCACAAAAAAATTTGCGGTGTTCAATGAATCGAAACTTTCAAACTAAGTATAATTATGTGACTAATGTGCTTTGGTATCGATCTAAGTACATGTTTATATTTATCATGTACAGTTTGTTTTGTTTAATAATAAGGAACATAATGCGCGACAACTAATTATAAGGTTATAAAATATCAAAGTATAATATTTGTATTTCCTATAAAACGTTAAGTCAATAATATTAACTGTCGTAATGTCCTTTCATTCAGTAGGTAAGTACGTAGCATACTGTAAATATCATTAAACGTTGGTGATTTAAACATAAGCGTTGTTTCGTGCGGTAGTCAGTTAACAGACATTATTTAAACGGTAGATACATACCTACCTACTTACAGGTATACATGTAGGTGTCTTTTTAATTACATAAATGTCTAGAGTATAATCATAACAGAATCATTAAAACAATATATAGTAGGTAATGCAGTATCTAGAAATATTTTGTAGTCTACTTAAACTACACAACCAAAAATATTAATAGGTATATACTTAGCAACAAACCAACCTACTTACGAGTCATTTGTTACAACCAATCTTATAATCATCAAACTATTGCAGACTTGTACGTAGGTAACAATCACATTTAAGCCTAGGTTTATCATTTTAAATTGTAATTTATGAATTCCACATGATTTCATAAACACGCAACATGCTTTAGCTCAATATTTTGTATCAACAAAACTTAGTTAACTGTTTAATGTGATATCAACGATATGAAAAAAGAAGACTTAATAATTATATATTTACACATTCTGTAAACTAATAATTTATTAATCCACTTTAGATGCATATTTAAGTACGTAACTATTTATTCAGTAATTAGTAAATTTGTTAAATTACATACATACTTGCTATATATGCATGAAAAGTGGATCCATTGGTTGGTGTCTATTT